CAGCCATCTGTTGTTCTGAAACAATTCCTGGCTTGTCCAAGTGACTCTATGCGCCCCCTGTGTGAGGCATCTAGCTGGTGGTTACAAGTGGTAGAGAGCAGACACAAAGCCCACCTTCTGGGTTCAAATCCCAGCTCTGCCATTACTAGTCATGTGACCCCAGGCAAGTTAGTTAACCTCTCTGTGCCTCAGTTTACCCATCTGTTAAATGGGGATACTAAAACTACCAACCTCATAGGGTTGTTAAGAATAAATGAGTTAAATCTGTAAAGTACTTAAAATAAGGCCTGGCGTGAAATAAGTGCTTAAATTTTATTTAATAAATATTTAATGAGAATACTATAGGCCAGGCTGGTTGTGAGGAATACTGTGAACAGATGCTGTCCCGCTCCCATAAGGCTCAGTCTAGCTAGAGAATAAAGATTCCCCAGCGGAAGGAGTGTTTCCAAGGAGAATATGTTGTGTAAGGGGAGTGAATGTCAGTCCCTGGTCTACATTGAGTACCTCCCAGAGGAAGTGATATTTGTGAAAATCTGGAATTGTTATCAATAGAGCTGTGGGGCTCTTTTCAACCTAGCATTCATCTTTTTCTACTTGGTTCTGTTTAGGAGTTTCCTGGTGCAGGGGACCAGCGAAGGCTCCTGGGGCTGCCTGATATTCAGAGTAAAGAGGGAGGGAGGCCTGGGGTTGCTAACAGGCCTGTTCTGACCAGACCAGAGGAAGCCTGAGGCCAGGGAGCACAGGGCTGTAGACACAAGCATTTCTGGGACTCTCTACCAGGCCAACAGGCTGTGCTTCCCTGGTCAGTGGCCTAGCCTAATGGGATCAAAGAAAGAAAGATGCCATACTCCGCTGTGTCCACTGGATGGAGTATTTTAGCCAAAGAAGGGACATTTGGAGGCAGTGCGGTGCTAGATCTTTGCCTCGGAGAAAAGTCAAGTTTGGACTTGTCAAGAGTCACACCCATCAAAACCCTCCTCCATAGGTAACATTCATCGGACTTCCTCAAACCTGTGGACTGTGCCAAAGCCTATCCTGGTAAAAGAAAATCCTCTATGGGTGTAACAAATTTTAAAATTTTAGAGCCAGAAAGTGGCCATAGGAGACCAGTGAGTCAGTCTGACCCTCTTTTCCACAAATTGGAAATGTGAGGGCTGAGAGGCAAGGAGACTTGACTGAGGTCGCAGAGCCAGGCTGTGTCAGACTGGCCCAGAACCCAGGTCTCCTGATTTCCTGGATGTGGCTCTCTCCCTCCGAGCTGCCTCTGAGTTGCTCAGACAGGTTCCCTGCCCTGTAGACCTTTCAATGTAGATGTGAGCCCATCTATTAACTATTTTATGAACAGATGAAGAAGTCTGAGAGAGAAAACTGGTGCTGATATAGGAGGAAGGAAGAAGTGGATACAACCCCCTCTAGTGGTGAAATCCTATAGGTCTCCAGCATGGAGGTGTCCACCTCTCCCTGGAGCTCTCAGCAGCTTGCTCTCTGTCTCACCCTCTCCCCTCCCTTCTGCTCCCATGTTCCTTCCTCAAACACACTTTCCTCTACCACTGGTCCAAAAGGGCTACCCCTACCCACTGTCACACGCTCTCCCTCATCCTTCTCAGTTGTTCTTCAGAACACCTGCCTCTACTTGAGTTCATATTGCACACGTGCATGTGCGCACATGCACACATTCACACGCATGCACACACACACACACACCCCAAGTATGTTCTGTTTGTTGATTAGTTTGTATCCCCTCTAGGATGTAAGCTCAGTGAGTTCAGTTTACAATGTATCTGTTCCTGGTACCCAGAAGAGTGTCTGGTACATAGAAGATGCCCAACAGAAATTTATTTAATTAACAAATAAATGAAAAACCATGGCTTCAAACCCTGATTCATCTGTAAAACGGATTATTGTTAAGATCAAAGTAAATAATATATGCAAAATCACTCTGCCATCTGTCAAGAATGAGGAAATGAGAGCCAGCCCTGATGGCCTAGTGGTTAAAGTTTGGTGCGCTCCACGTCAGCAGCCTGGGTTTGGTTCCCAGGCACAAACCATACCACTCGACTGTCAGTAGCCATGCTGTGGTGGCAGCTCACACAGAAGAACTAGAAGGACCTACAACTAGAATATACAACTATGTCCTGGGGCTTTGGGGAGGAATAAAAAAAAGAGAGGAAGATTGGCAACGGATGTTAGCTCAGGGTGAATCTTTCCCAGTAAAAAAAAAAAAGAATAAGGAAATGAAAGGGGCTAGGTGAGATTAAGGGACTGTAGGCAGTGCCCACTCACAGAATGAAGGACTGGAAATCATTAGCAAAAACAAGGGGCCTACGTCATATATCGTGACAATTAACATGTATTTATATTGATTTGTTTTATCTCTTCTCATTCAAATAACAAAACAAAAAAATACCTGCTAATGGAACATAAACACACACACTCCAGTATGATCACATGAACTAGGAGTGCGTGGTGCACTGAGTTGGGCAGCAGCTCAAACTGGAAAGAAACAGCTGATTTGCTAGATGCAAAGTTGACTCAGAAATGTCAGAAGCATTCCCTATTTACAAAATACATTAATTAAAGTTGATGAGCAATAAGGCAAAGGAAAGACAAAAACAGGAAAATAAAAGGCATTCAGAAAAAAGCTGGTACATAAAAAGCAGACCATGAAAACCTACCCTTCCTCAGAGTGAGACACAAAGTTAGGTCCTCGCGTCCACGCATGGATGGACAGTGGGAAGCCTGATCATCACAGCACATGTCAGCGGCTGTGCCGTCCTCAAGGCTGGGCTGCGTGGCCCCACATAGAGTCCAGGATTTGGGGACAGGAACTTTCCACACTGGGACTTTTTTCTGTTAATGCTCAGTTGGTCGTCAGCCAGACTTGTGGGCTAAACTAAATTTTAAAAAATTATCCCTTTGCTCTGGCACTTTTTGTCAGTTGCAAGTCAGTAGGAAATTCAAACACTCTGACTTTTAATATCTCTCAGTTTTTCAGTAACATTTATAAAACCCTTACATATTAAGAAAAGTGGAGCAAATTCTAAATAAAGGTAACCCAATGAGATGGAGACAACTGGGAACAGTTTTTGGAAGCTGACCTCAAAAAGACAAGACATGCAATGTTTCACTTGGAAATCTTTTTTCCCCCTAAATTCTCTAAAGAAACCAGAGATCTTGAATGCTCGCCAATGACCTGGAAAGCTAACCACACTTCAGAATGGTTATTCGTGGCTCCATCTTTAAAAGAATAGAGACTACACCACAGAAAGAACTGAATGCTATCACGGCTTTCAATGATGCATTCTCCAAGGTCCTAGCTTCCTGGACATGGAAGTGTCCTGAAAACAACTCCTTGTCAGCCTGACTCGCAGCATAAGGCCCTCTGGCTGCAGTAGAGGGGCCTGGTCTCACTCGCATAGGCCACTGAGTTTCTCTTTCCTTCTATCCCCTGCAAACCTTGTGTGTGACTGAGTCCTCGCTATTTCCAAAGCTGATTTTCCAGCTGAAGGAAGGCACAAACTTGGCCCCCGTCATAAGAGCCATAGACCACTCTGAAGAGTGGAAAGACGTGACTGGACTGTTGTTTGACCAGAGGAGATGATCAGGAGCCACTTAAGAAGATGGGCGTCTGCAGGGGAATTGCCCTGAGTCAGAAACCGGGAGCAACCAGGCTGTGAGGCAGAGCTGAACGCCCACGCTGGCAGTTAGTAACATAATCTCAACCAAGTTGGGAATCTCAGTTAGCTCACCTATGAAATGAGCACTAATCTGCCCCAACTGCCTGCTGGATTCAAGGAGAAAATGGACAAGAAAACCTTCACGGATCGTTACTATTAGAGACTGGCGAGTAATTATTATAATAACCTATGTCCCACCGTCTCCACCAAGAATGAAGTGAGGATAACAGCCACCATGCTTGGGTGCCTGCTTTGTACTGTGCTTTTCCACTACACGTCTCAAACCTTACAATACAGTTATAATTGTCCCCATTCGACATGGGGGAACTGAAAATCAGAGAGGGGGAGTGACCCTCCAAAGTTCATGCAGCCATTAAAAGGCAGAATGGGGATTTGAACTCTGATCTGTCAGCTTCTAGACCCTCTACACCAGTCTATCTCTACTAAGGAGGACAGGGGCAAAAATGATACATTAGGGGTTAATGTAAAAAAAGAAATATGACAGGGATGATAGCAAAAAACCTAAGAGGGTTTCTGAGGGAGACCATTGAATTTTTATTTTATTTAATTTTAAAATGGGGAGGGGTTCTCCTGCCAGCAGCAGAGGTCACCTGTGGGCAGGGGACGGTAGGGGAGGAATTGTGGCCTGGGTGGGCTGGTGCCTCTGGAGCCCTTTATGTGGGAGGCTGGCAGGAAAGGGTGTCCCTTCAACCCTTGCCCGCTGACTGGCAGGGCCATGTGCGCATGCGCAGTGACCTTGGCTGGGTTTCTAAGAAGAGAGGACAGAGGGAGGGAAAGGCATGTGCACAACATGAAGTACACCTCGGAGCTCCGTTTTGTTCTCACGTCAGCAGTGAGTAGGCACGGCATGCATGAGCAGCCTGCCAGGAAGGGACGGGCTGAATTACCTTTCTAGATAACTGAACGGTTCAATACTGTCAGAGGGGCATTGTGTAGGCGCTAACATCTCCATTTGCCTATTGGCACCACCGTCCCATCTCTGTCTCCCCCATTGTCTCCTTCTCAAGGTTAGTTCTCTTCTTTGACCTTCCTGGCCTCCTTATTCGTGTGCACACGGTCTCCTCTTTTCCTCCTGCCTCCACCCTCTCCTCCACTCTGACAGACTGTATCAGCGAATCCCTCAACAGTGTCATATCTAACTTTTTTATTCATTGCATGATTTATTTTTAGCCTGAAACAACTGCATCCTAAAAATGGAGTTCCTGATGAGACAGGGGTTGGGCTGAGCTATGCGAGGTATCTGGGGCTTGGCCGCTCAGCCTGCCTCTTAGCCTACTCACGCCTCTTTGGGCGAGCCTGCTCTGTGCCCTGAGCCCTCACTGCACTTAGCTGGACCCCAGGAGGTGAAGAGTTGGTTCTGGGGCCCAGGAAGGGCAAAGGAGGGAGACGAAGCCAGCCTCTCTGCTCCCACTCCTCTCAACAAGTGCTCTAAGAGTCTCCGTCCCCTCTCCTGCACTCAGTATTGCTGGGAAAGAAAAACCTAACTTTTCCCAGATGAAGAGAACTCACCTGTTTGTAGTGGGGGTCTACCTGCTGTCCGCCTGCAGGGCAGAAGAAGGGCTGAACTTCCCCACCTATGACGGCAAGGACCGCGTGGTAAGTCTTACTGAGAAGAACTTCAAGCAGGTTTTGAAGAAATACGACTTGCTCTGCCTCTACTACCATGAGCCTGTGTCTTCAGATAAAGTCACCCAGAAACAGTTCCAGTTGAAAGAGATTGTGCTTGAGGTAAGCAGGGGGGCATGCTGACCATGTTGCCCAAGTGGGCACGGGCTGGCCAGCGGTTGGGGTGTGGGAAGGAGGGCACAGAGAACAGATCCTGAAGTCTTGCTGCATTTCGGTGTCATGTAAATCTCAAGATGTTCTTGTTGCAAAGCTGGGATGTGTGAATGACAAGGATGGGTCCAGACTCTTAGAATGGGGACAATTCAATGTGTTACACAATGCAGAGGTCTGATTTAACGTCTGTCACATGACAGTCTCCTGATTTTTCAAGGGCAACAGTCCCAGCCTCTACTTTTCTGAGCAAATGTTAAAACTATTGTTAAAAAGACAGGCTAAAATGAAATTCAGGGATAATTTGCGGGTTTCATTCGGTGTGCTAATTCCCCACTCTTTGCTGTCTCAAGTCTCCCCACAATCCTGGAGAAACAGGAGTTGTTTGACCTTGCCTCTCTTGATGGGTCAGAGGGGGAATATCACTAAATGGATTTCCTTTCTTGTGCTTTGGTTTCAGTCAACATTACACAGCGTAGACGGCTGAAGATTTTTGCTGCACATTCATTAATGGGGATTTTTTTTTCTCAGAAAGTTCTTGGTGTGAGTTCAGGGCAGATGCTGAAGTCCGTTCTTATTTTATCTGCACTACATGCCTGTTTGTAAACCTGGCACGGGGGGCCCGTCTCTAATCCTTCGTAATGCCCCAGGAACCGTTCCCGCAGCTCCTCCTGGACAGTTGAAGATCACTTACACTCAGGAGCACTGTGAGCGCCAAGAACTCTAGGAGTCCCCAAGATCCCTTCTCAGTCCCCACGCCCGCCCAGCCTAGGCACAGATCTGGGAAATGAGCCGTTTGAGACTTATAGCAGTTTATCAACCAACACAATCAGAGAGCTCCGCTTAATCAAACACTTTAACAGAACTACCACATAAAACCTGTGTGGATTTGAATTCTCAAAAAAAAAATTTGACTGTAATAAAATTCAGGAAAACCCTCCCGAACACATCAAGATATCTTTGATAATTTCAAAAGCACTTCAGAATCCTAAGTGTCTCTTCATCATCATCCTATTTTCAGAGGATTTGTATATGGTGGTGTGGTCATTAGAGAGAGCTCTGGTTGACAAAAGCCAGGCGTTTTAAAAACATCACCACTACCATCATGTTTTTACTCAGGCTCCATCCTGGGGGCTGAATGTGGAAGTTCAGTTCCCTCTACAGTTTACAAGTAAAGAGAAAGCAGGGACATTTCTTTATTATTAGGTCTTTGTACTACATGTATGGGAAAAGCTCTGGCTAGAAAAACCAGGACATACGGAATAACTACTGCTTAGCCCATGAAATCCTCACTCACATTGTCTCCATCTCCAACTGCCCTACTCAACTATGGAGAGATATCTTTATGAAAAATTTAATTGAAGGCATAAGGACTCTACTGTATACGCTCATCACTGCCCAGTTAGCCACTGCAAGCAGTGACCCCATTTCTGATTCCCTATCATATGAAAACACATAATACATTTGTATGTATTCCCCCGAGAGTATGTCTCCCCCAAAGACTAATTCTGGGTCCCCAAGCAAAATCATGGGAAAAGACTTTCTTCTGGGCTCCCCATACCTCTAGACACCTTTGATCCAAGAGTGCCTGGCAGAGATTGATGAGGTGGGAGTTCAGTATAGGAGGTACCTGGTGCCCCACAGGCTCCTAATGGTGGAGTGGGCCTCATTAGGGGAAAGGAGCGTAGAATTTGGAGTCAGAAGGTCTGGATTTATAGTCTGGCTTTGCCTCTACTGGCCATGTGACATAGGGCAGGTTGCTCAATTTCTCTGAGCCTCGTTTTCTTATCTATAAATACGGAAAAAATAAGAACTATCATGCAGGCTTATGAGATGATTAAATAATAATAATTAACATTTATTGGTGCTTCCTGTGTGCAGGGACTGTTCTATGCACTTTGTATGTGTTAGCTGGTCTAATCTCTACAATATTTCTATGATGTAGGTACAGTTACTATCCCCGTTTTACAAAAGAGGAAACTGAGGCGCAGAAAGGCTAAGTTGCCCAAGGTCACTCAACTAGTGCAGGTGAAGGCAGTCTTGGTCCTTACACTACACTACTGCAGGAATCGAATGGGACAGTGAACAAGGAGCTGCTGGGTACCCTGTTCAGGACTGTCTCACGAGTCTGCCTTAAATAGAGTCACTCAGCCACAGGCCTGCACCTGATGATGCCAGCTGTAGCACCTACAGGGCTGAGAGGCACAAAGCCCTGGAGGCACTTCTCACGCAAGTGTCCAAACCAGGGAGGAGGCTGGGCATCCTTAGTGAAGGCAGGGGAGGGGCAGGGGCAGGGGCGGGCCTTTGTTGAGGTATGTGTCAGGTGCAGGCTGTTTCTCAGAATCCAGGACAAAGTGGCTCCAGGAATCCTAAGGGTGGGAAGAAAGGGTGGATGTGAGCCTCTAAATTTTCTTCATCGTCAAAACAACAATTTTCTGCTCTTAATTCCCTGGACCCCAGACTTGCACTAAGGCAAATATTTTGCCAGTTCCAGGGCTGTGTCTGTTCGGGAGATGGAAGAAGAGGAGGCGGTTCCCAGTGTACAGCCACAAGGCAGTGAGGTCTCATCCCCGGGCGGACAGTACAGGAAGAGCGAGGATCCTTTCCTCCAAGTAGTTTAGGAAGGTGGCTTCCGATGTTTTTTATCGTAACTCACGCACACACATATATACACAAATGAAACAAAAGTTTCACAGGACAATCCTTATCATTATTATTTGGGGACCACTTGGATTTTTTAAAAAATTCTTTTATCTTCTATTATGTTCTGTTCTGTTTCACTTAAAAAATATTGATCTCAACCAATTAAATTGATTTCCCCTTCCAATATTGAGTTGCCACCCCCAGGTTGAAAAATTGAGGGTTAGAAGGTTAGCGATTAGAAGTTCATAACTTGTCACATAAGGGCTATCTCATTCTGATAAAAGTCCAAAAATATTTTGGTCAGTCCTGTATATTTTGTCTGTTGCTCTAAGGAATGACAATGGAAAGGCCCAGAAACGGCCCCATCCACAGGGCAAGGAGGTCATGCTTGACTCAGGGCCTTGAAATGTCATCCAGTTAGTTCTACATCTGTCACTTACTCTAGGTTGGGCCTTGGGTGGATGCTGTGGATACAGGGAACATGAGACACTCAGGTGGCTCACAGCCTGATATGGAAGAAGACATACAAACAAAAAGCTACAGTGCAATGGAGTCACTGAAATAGAGCGACTTACAAGGCTCTGGGAGTGCAGAGGAAAGAGGAGAAGCCCCACTCTCCGGGAGAGACATGGCAGACATGACAAGGAACAACTGGTTTGTGAAAACGAGTAGAATTTGCCAGGCAAATAAGCAGTGATAGGAGAGGGAACCACAAGAGCTAAGATTCTCATAGCTCTCAGATATTTTTCCATCCTGCTAGCTTTTTCCTAAAATTTGGCCATGAGGGCCTCATTCCTGTAGGGTAAGATTTCTCTCCTTACTTAGTCAAGCCCTCTGGGAGGGGTCGTCCTTTAAGAAGGTGCCAGTCACTTACACCTCCTTATGACCAAGTTTGAGTTCTGTGTGAGCACAGGCTTTGATAAGGGGAAGAGGAAAAGGGAGAGAATTTAAGGTCACTAGAAGCTTAGGCAGAAAAGGGCAAGTAAACTGACACCAGGAGACTCCAAATTCAAAATCTGTGTTCCAGTTTGGTGAGAGTCTGGCTCTGGAGGACCCCACCAACCACCCAGGGTTGGTGCCCGGTACATAGTTGTATACAGATGTTCTGTAAATGCTTGTTAAATGGATGAAATGTTAGAGCCCAAAAGAACCTTGAGAACAATCCAGATTGTTCTGAACCCCTCGTTTCATAGATTTGGCCTTGTAGTGATGTGACTTACACAGCTGGTAATCTTGATTCCTGGTCGGGCACTCTTCATCCACAAAATAGCACATACTTATTTAGAAATGTTAGAATGTGGGGAAAAGGAAAAAGAAGACAATAAAAATAGCCACCCAGAAATAAACCTGGTTAACACTCTGATAGATTTCTTTCCAGTATTTTTTCTGTGCCTAAACACACATTTTCAGTTGGGTTTATACCATTTATACAGTTGTGTTTCCTGCTTTTTTCATTTCACTATATTGTGGGTGTTCCTATGTCATTAAATACTTTTATATTCTTGACAAACACAATGTTAATGCTGGCATAGTATTCCATCGTATGACCATACATATTTTTAAAATAATTTCTCTATTTTTGGGTATTGAGAAAATTTTCAGAGTTTTTAAGATCTTTGTCTATTTAGATTTTCATTGTAGTTTGTATGAACATTCTTTGATTTCTAGCTAGATTAAATTTTTCGTAAAATTATTTGCCATTTACATTTTTTTCCTCCATGAATTATTCTTCTGTGCCTTTTCCCCATTTTTCTATTGGGGTGTCAACACAAACTATAAAGGGAGTTGCAGTTTTGTGTGCTGTTTCCTTCAGCTTCAGCCAAGATAGCAAATATAGTCACACTACAGTGGCCAAATCTTATTAGCATTGCAGGACTCAGAGACACAAGAGGAGGATACGGGCAATGATTCTGTTCCTCCTTGCTCCTTGGGTTCCTGCTTCCTCTTTCCCCTTGAACCTGTGGTGCAAGCCACTGCTCCTATCATGTTCCGTAAATACTGCCAGAGAAAGTCTTCCAACATCACCAACCTTCTCTCGGGTTGAAATGCTTGAGAGGTGGTGCGTGCTAACGTGGGCTTCCAAATCAGGTAGACCTGGGTTCAATTCCCACGGGAGAAGCCTGTCTGCACTCAGCTTCCTTATCTGGAAAGTGGAGATGGTAGTGTGGTGAAGTTTCGCTAAGGTAGATGGCAAGAACACGGCTTCTGGCACACAGAAGGTGCTCGATACTCGCATTTTCAGTCAGGATTTTAGACACAGCCCAGCCTGACCTATCATTTCCAGACTAAGGACAACAGACCACTCTCAGAGAGCTCGGGACTGGTAATGCAGTACATTATTGCTTATTCACAGCCCGCTAAGCCCCAGAGATGGAGGCACTTGCCCATGATCCCAGACTCTTGATATCCTCGTGTTGAGCTCTCCCTCTGATCTCCAAGGCTCTGCTGAGCTAGTGAGCATTTTAGAACATGAAAATAAGCATTGTGAACCCCTAAATAGAAATATTATTCATCAAATATACATGGCTCTTAGCAGACTCAGTAATCTTAGCAGGAATAAATGAATTGAATGTGTGAATGAATGGACGATGAATGAGCAATGCTTTCCACATTGTGAACAGTAAAAATTGGTTCATTTGTTTAGGGTGAACCAGGTCCCTTGGACTGGCAGGCAATCTGGGGTCTTGGCACAAAAATAGCCACATCATCCTGGTAGGTGTATGACAGGTTGACCTGCTGCCCCTGTTGTTTTTCAATGGGCCTCAGCGAGGGTGTGAGGTCCGAGACTGCTCCTCAGTGTCCCCTCTGCAGGGGCCTTCTGCTCTGCCTGCTTCAGGAGGCCCTGCTTTAGTTCACCCCTTGAAAACTGCTGCCATCCACACACAGCCTGCCCAGGGGCTCTATCCCAAGCCCACTGGATATTAAATGGCAGGATCATCACCTAAAAATTATTGGAAATAGCCTGTCTACCAGCAGGAAGGGTTATTGTTATGACGAATTTTCCAGTGCTGGCAAGCAGATTATTTTCCAATAATCTTTTAGATGGTGATTCTAGCACAAATTATCCATTAGGCCCTATGGGGGTGGAGGGAGGCTGGCTCCATCATCTATGGCAGAATCAAGAATCAGAAGCCCGTGCAATGTAGGCCTCTGTGTTCTGCTGCTATGTAAGTCTCTTGATGCTGCTGCTCTCAGTCTGCCAAGGCCCCCAGCAGACTGAGATCCCTTCTCTACCCAGGTCTCAGTCTCCTAATCGATCTGTATGGGATTAGTGAAAATGTCTTTGGCTGGGAGTGACTGTAGCCTCTGCAGACAAGTGCCCAGTGTCATTGACATGGTTCTTGTGTGCACTTTATGTGCGTGGCCATCCTTACACATCCAACCTCAGACAAGGTAGCAGTGCTTGGGAAAAGCAGACAACTGGAGGTCAGAGGGCCCAAACTTCTCTTTTACATACTGACTATTTGATCCCGGGCAAATCATGGATATGCCTCTCATTTTACTCATCTGTAAAATCAACTATGTAGTTTCTACCTCAGTGAATTAAGAGAATTAAATGAAAGCAGGTGAAGAAAAATTTCTTGTAGAATTAGAAGAAGCTGTACAAGTGTCAGATATTATTATTTTGTTATGCTGGTTACTATTTAGGAAATTAATCTATGTAGACTGCCTAACTGAGTGCCTGAAATATAGCCAGTGCTTATCACATGCTAATTCCCTTCACCTGTCACTTGAAATTTACACCATGTTCTTGGCCAATTGCAGTACTTCTCAACCTTGGCTGCAAATTGGAGTCATCTAAGGAGCTTTTTAAAATACTGATGCCTGGGTTTCGTCCCTCAGATACTGATTTAATTGGTCAGAGGGAAGAGATGATATACAGGTACCACGGTTTTTAAAACTTCCCTGGGTGATTCTAATGTGCAGCCAAGTTTGTGGAGCATTTGAGCCTTGATGCTCAAAATGTGGCCCCCAGACTTGCAGCAGTGACATCAATTGGCTGCTTGTTAGAGTTAAACAGGATCCCCAGGTGATTCATAGGCACAGTGAAGTTTAGAAAGCATTGTATTGGTCTATTGCCTGGAGACGCTTTCCAGATGACCAGATGACCAGAATCATGTTGCACCTGCTTGATCTTAGGTCTATTGACTCTCCTGAATGATATTGGAGCCGTCAGCATACCTCTGATTGGAGAACTGCAGGGATGTTAAGTTGGTTCTGGGGCTGCAGGGATTCAGGTCTGCTCTGGGACTCAGCCAGAGCCTCCCAGGTTTCTCCCACCATCCCTTCACTCACACAGTCAGTGATTAGTACTTTGGACCTCCTTTTTTTTTTTTTTTAAAGACTTTATTTATTTTATTTTTTCCCCCCAAAGCCCCAGTAGATAGTTGTATGTCATAGCTGCACATCCTTCTAGTTGCTGTATGTGGGACTCGGCCTCAGGATGGACGGAGAAGTGGTGCCTCGATGCGCACCCGGGATCCGAACCCGGGCCACCAGCATTGCAGCGCGCGCACTTAACCACCAAGCCACAGGGCCGGCCCTGGACCTCCTTTTAAGGAGATGATCTGGGCCCATGGAAAGCCTTACCCTACTTGAGAGGTTTACAGCGAAATTGCAGAGTGTTCTAAGGCCAAATCAGAAGATACTTTCCTAAGTAATCTTAGGTCAGGGTCCAGGATCTACCTTCAGAAAGAGAGGAAAAGCACCTGTTTGGTTGCTGTGTCACATTGCCCTTTTCCCCAAAAGAGATGACAAATCTGAGAACTCTGGAAGTGTATGAGTATGGGATACTAAGATGTTAACATATTTAATGGGAACCTATGGGAAATCTTCTTAGAGCAAATGGGTGAGTGTTCTACAATGTGAAACTAAGTCTTGTGAACACCCAAATAGAAATAGTCACTCTTTCATTTATTCATCAAATATTCATGCACTTCTTACTTACAAAATGCAGATGACATGGCCTCTGATATCTAAGAAGGTGTTCATTCTTCTTTTATTGATGATACAAACTCACTTCCTTTAGGTCTATGCTTAAACATCACCTTATCAAAGAAGTTATCTCCCTGATCATCCATATAAATCATGCTCCCCAAGCGCTCCTTTTATCCCCTCTACCTTACTTTGTTTTTCTCCATAGCAGTCGGCTGACACATTGCATATTGTCTGACACCCCTTAGAATGTAAAATCCACAAAGGCAAAGACTTTGTTCTCTTCATTGCTGTACCCCAAGACCTAGATCAGTGTCTGAGTCCTAGTGGATGCTCAACAGTATTTGTTGAATGAATGTTGAATCAACAGAAGAGGAAGGAGTAGGGAAATAGCACTTTTTATGAACTTACCATAAACCATGCCCAATATGGGTGCTTTACATATGTTATTTTATTGAATTCTTACAACATAGTCTCACATTACACACAAAGAAATGATCCCATAGAGCTAAGTAGAAATTGCCCCAAGTCACAAAGCTATAAAGTGGTGGAGCATGAAGCAAGATTTGAACTCACATCTATTTGGTTCCAAATGTCATGTTCCTTCCATTACACCAGGAACAGCTAATGGGATTGCTTCATGTTTGTAAGCAGTGCCAACCTACAAAGGCACAAGGGTCTTTAGTTTGTATTCTGGATTTTCACCCACACTTGAGCAATGGTTAATTGTATAGCTGGAATATGTGTTGAACCAAAATGACCTATGTGAGTAAAGGGACTAATGCTTAGCACCTACTTGGTATTTGCTGGATGGATGGATGAATGGATGGAGAGAGACGGAAAAGGCAAAGAATTATAGATACATTGCCTATAGTGGAAATATATTTCTCCTTGATCTCTTTTTAAAATTAAATTAATTTTTTTAAAAAGAATTGAGTGAAATAGTAAAAAATTAGGTTGAATCTGTCAGGTTCAGGGACCTGTTTGTCATCTTTGCTTAATCCCACTGAAATATGGGTAAAAGTAATTTTTGTTTTAACCATGGGACTCTCAGTCCAAAATATATATACAGCATAGGTAGAAATCTCTGGGCTCTGTAAGGTTGATCCTGCCTTCAAATCTATTTAGCACTGGCAAAAGTCCCAGTGATTGCATTTCTAAACCCCAAGAGAAGAAGGCAGAATGAAGTTGCTGGAGTCAAGTAAATCTACAGATGGAATGGTATGGGAACACTAGGCAGAGAAGAGCAGCACACATAGGAGTCAGGCATTTCTTCCAACTGTTCACTGCCCAAAGATGGCATTCTCCAAACTTGCACCTGCTGCCCTCTGAAAAATCAGATGAGGTCAGGCTTATTTTGGATTGGCTTTGAGAATGAATCCTCACATAGAGCCAGTACCCTCTCGGAAGATGTATACCCGTGCTCACTCTTAAATTGCAGATCTCCCCAGAACCCAAGTGACGCCAACTTTGAGGAGCATTTGCTGTGCACTAATGAGTAATATAACTGGTGCTTGGGTGAGACGGTGACCAGACAAGAAATGCTACTGTAAGAGCATGGACTGAGTTGATTCAAGTTAAATTCTTCCTTCCGCAAATAGAGATTTTACAAGATGGAAAATACACTGTTGATTCAGACGTTTTTAGACCCTTGGAACCTTCTTCTCTTAGTACTCCACCCCAAAAAGCCATCAATAATACTCAAGCCCCGTAGGGTGTCTAGTCATAGTATCCCTGAGGTAGACCTCCTCCCAAAGTTACACATTTTTAAATGGAGACATGAGATACCATGAAAGTCACCACTACAAACTATTAGAAGGACTATTATAATAGTTTTACTGCAAAGCAGTAAAAGAAAAAGCAAGAAAATCTGTTTCAGAATCATAAGATTTTTCTTTAAAAGCATCAGCCCTAATCTCTTGCAGTTTGAACTTCACTGGTTGGTGTGGAGGATTTTTGTATAATTACCAGCTCAGCCTTAGCATCTAAAACGACTTGTTCCACCAAGAAAGCCAGCCCCTGAAGTACTGAGTCGGTACCACGAAGCCTCTGAGGCTCCCTCCTCTGTAAACTGCATGTGGTTTCATCCCGATAAGCCTTTTCTCTTTGGACAGCCAGACAGGAAAAGGGCCAGTGCGCCATCTTGCAGTGAGCCTGGCTGGGCAGGCCAGAGCCGCCTCTGAGTGCCCGGAGAGCCTGTTCCAGGAGCGCCCGCCTGCTGCCCAGTGCCCCACGCCAGGCAGGCCTCTCCTCACCATCTGCTGTGTGCTGGACAGGGAGGAGGGCCAGACGAGCCAACAGGTACTCCCTCATACTCTCACCTGTCTGTCTTACACTGACACACATAGCCACCCTGGTGCAGGACGCCAAAGCATTCATTAGCCTGACAACACACACTCGATTTATTTATGAAGGAAATGAGAGCGTCCCCCCAGACTCAGAGGAAGAAGTGAATATAGCACATAAACAGCAGCCCGCAATATCTCCTGGCAGCATAAGAAGCACACGCGTTAGAGTTAGACCCACCTGGGTTTGAGTCCTTGACTGTCAAGTCCTTGCACTAACCGTGTGACCACAGGCAGGTCACTTAACTCCTGCAGGCTGAGCACCTTCCTTTGTAAAATAGAAACACAACACCCTCATCACAAGGTTCTTGTGAAGAGAAAAGAGGTGGCATGTGTAAATGAACCACACACGTTTGGTGCTCAGTAAAGGGCTGGTCTTGAAATTATTGCGTATGTGAAAGCGCACTCCCACCTCCAGCTCTCTGTGCAAGTCAGTTATCCACAGTCCCTGTTGTCATTAGCAGATGTTATCAGAATAAACGCCAGTTGGACATTTCTTAAGGTTCAGCCGAGCAGTAACAGGTTTCTCTTCTGCTTTTTCCTGTGCGCTATGGGTAAGACAAGTCAGAGATCTCTCCTGCCAGTCATCGTTTTACATTGAGGAGGTCTCTCCATCAGCCGCAGCCCTCCCTCCACCTTTTATTTTTTTAATGAGGTGCACCAAACTAGGGAAGGTTTAGCCAGAAAAGGAATGATCTCTCTCTGGCTCCAAGAATGCAATGACTACTTTGTGGAACTCTTCCCGGGGAAGACTGAGGAGGGGGTTACTAGAGGATGTCAGGGTTCAGGCTGCCAGACTGTGTTTTCACAGGCTGTCAAGCACAGAGCTCTGCTGAGAAAAACTGGAAAAGGGCACGGGCTAGCCCCATATCAGTCAAATATAGTTTTTAAAATCCCATTGCAACAATATTTTTAGTATGAAGAGAAGAAAACCTGGCCTCCAGGAATAGCCTCCCTCATTCAGTCAGTTTGGACAACACAAAGCGCTAGACAGTGAAAGATCGTGATTGTGTGTTGGAGGTGGTTGTAGAGCAGTGGTTCTCAATGTGTGGGCCCGGGACCAGCAGCATGAGCATCCCCTGGGCCCTTGTCAGAAATGCAGATTCTTGGGTCCCATCCCAGACCTGCTGAATCAGAAACTCTGGTGTGGACCCAGCAATCTGTGTTTTCACCGGGCTTCCCTCCAGGTGATGCTGATGTGGGCTCAGGTTCAAGAAGCATGGCTTAGTGTAATGGGTTTGTCCCACAGTGAATTCACAGAGAACAAACATTTACTAAGCACTTGCATACACGTTCCTCCTGCGAGAATTAGATCTCATGTTTTTAGATTAGAAAATGGAGATCAGAGAAGTTGCAACCTGCTCAGAGTCTCATAGCTGATAAACAGCAGAGCCAGGATTTGGGCCTACATCCCTCTGAGGCTCAGGTGTAGGGAGTGGAATATAATGGATGAGAGCTTGGGCTCTGGAGCCAGAGTGTTGGGGTTGGAATCCCAGCTGTGTCACTTAAGTGCTGTGTGGCCCTGGCAAGTTGGTTAACCTCTCTGTGCCTTCGTTTCTTCATTTGCAAACTTATTTCATGTAGGTTTTGTGAAGATTCAATAAGACAATTCCTGTAAGGTGTTGGAGCAGTTGGAGCAAACACCCATGAGATGCTATTTTTATTGTTGTTATACTGCTTCTCAACGTGGTAGAGTAGAAAGAACACACAGCATTGGCCCTTGGGTCTCTTCCTTGGCATCGACCAAGGTGATAGCCCAAAAGTGCCAATAAAAACAATAGACAGCTTTCTTCTCCCCCAAGGCTCTTTCAGAGGCCACCCAATCCAGCATCGAGAGGCCCCAGTGTTCCCTTGAATCTCGTAAAAGAGCTGTTCCATTCCCTCGCCCGCCTCTTGCAAGGACACATCATGTGCCAGCTCCCCAACTATACATAGCCCAGGCCTCCTTTGAGGGCGGTGGAAAGTGACAGGAGATTACCGGAGATAAGCGTCAGCTCTCCGGTTTCGGAGGAGAACACACAGTTGTTGAATTGCTTGACATGCCGCCAGATGGTATCAGGGACAGTGGGTGTAGTCAGCCGTTTGGCTCTTGGCTTACACGGAAAAAGCAGGATCACAGCCAGGGTATTTTTAATGACTAGCCTGAGGGACATTTACTTTGAGCAAAGATCTGTGACATTTTCCCCCAGGCTCCTCAGTCCTCGATTTTTTTTCAGACTCTCGACCCCGCAGAAAGTAACCCCCACTCAGCTCCCTTTGATAAGTAACCACTCTCTTTTCTCTGCTACCCCACGCCTTCCCCACCTTCCCTCTGACCATGAAGCAAATTAGTCTTTCTTCTCCATGCAGATAGTTCTTGAGAAGTGGCACAAATGTAGCTTTCTTCCTATCTGGCCCTGGATTTGGGCTGAGCAGTCCTACAAAGGGACTGGACTTGAGGGGCTTACATAGACATATAGTCCTGGTGTATTGCGTGTCCTGGCCTCTGAGGGCCAGGGAGCAGTCACGCAGCCCAGGGAACGTGCCCCCGGGGCTGCTGTGTTAGTTTCCCCCTCCTTTCATGGGCAAACTTCTTGGACCAGTGATCCACACCTGCTCTAACGTGTCCTTGCCACCCACTCAACAGCTTAACTCCCAGTGCTTTGGCTTCTGTCCCAGCTCTTCTCTAAAAGGTCACCCGTGACTTACCCGTCCTGAAAGGAGACACCTCATGGTGGTTCCACCCTCCGTGACTTCCTGCAACATTCAATCCAACTGCCCACTCCTTCTGGAGGTTCTTTCCTCCGGTGACTTTGGAGTGACAGCACTCTGTTCATTGTCCTCCTCCTGCTTCTCCCACAGTCCTCTCTGCCTCAGGGGCAGGCTCCTCTTCTTGCTCTTACCTCCTACGAGAATGCCAGTCCTCGACCCTGTGGCTTTTTCCTACACTCTCCTCCCTGAAGATGTCTCCCACCCTCACGCCTTCACCTCTCACTTGCACAACTCCATTTGGGACCTCTCCTCGAGCTCCAGGTCGGCACCTCCAGCTCTTGGCTGGACTACCATTGTCATGAACTCATTACATGTAAATCCAAGCTGAGAACCTTGCCCTGGGTTCTGGCATGCCCTCCTGACATCACCGTTTTGTCCTTCACTCTGCTCCCTGGCTGGAGACCCTGGAATCATCTTGCCTACTCCTCTCCTTTGGTCCCCCTCCTTTCTCTCTCCAAAGCCGTGGAAGAGTTAGCAGTCTGATTCTCCACTTGTAACCACCTCACAAATTACTTCTTCATCCGCTGCCACCGCCTTGGTCTGAGACCAGTCCTCTCCCATTCAGACTATGGCATCAGTCTCCCAACTGGATGCCTTTCCTTTCCACTCTCCTTTCTGTCTGTCTGGTCCATGCCCTGAGAACAACCCTCCCCAACTCATATCGGCCATATTGTTCTTCTCCTCGAACATCTCCCAAATCAGAACTGCTAGTCCTAATATTCCAAGTCCTGCACATTCTCATATGCCTTAAACACACTGCTCCCCCAAATAAGCCCTCTGCTCAGGTCAGTCAGCCTGCTCTCCTACACTCACCCCGCACCTTTGCGCTTCCAAACCTTCACTTCTGCCGTTTCTTCTCCCTGGGATGCTCTCACTGCTCTCCTCTGCTTTTCTATACTCTCCTCCTTGTTCAAGCTCTAGCTGGCCTCTTCTCTTCCAAGCAGTCTTCACTTTCATTCATTAATTTACTTAGGAAACTAATTTTTTTTTTTTCTGCAAGGTTCTGATGTGGGTGCAGCTCTTCTGATTTTTCAAGGAAAGCTGGAAATCTCAATTTTCATGTGAAATTGCTTAATTTAAACATTTTCACATCATACTTTAAAGGTGGTACCTACCACATAGTTCCTTAAAATTACAACTTAAAGACTATTTCATGTGCAACATGCATATGATATAGTAGTACATTCAGTATACAAATACAAAATAGAGTAACAATTCTACTTTTCAGGATGGGTTTCAGATCTGTAGAAGTAGATTTTCTTGAAAATCTGGAATTGAATATTCATCCTATGAATTTGGGATTTAAATGATGGGAAAAAATTTTGGCAGTGTTTATTACTTTTTCCTTTTGCAGATGAATTTAGCAATACAACATCTCCATTAATTAATGTAACCAGATGCCTTTAATATCTTCTTGTTATTTTCATTTTACAAAAATGTTGAATGAAACAAATTTTTTAAATTGAGATATAATTGACATATAACGAACATAATGATTTGATATATGTATATACTGCAAAATGATCCCCACAGTAAGTTTAGTTAACATTCATCCCCTCACATTGTTGCAAATTTTTTTTCTTGTGATAACTTTTAAGATCTGCTGTCTTAGCACCTTTCAAATATGCGATACAGTATTGTTAACTATAGTCACCATCCCCAGGACTTATTTATCTTATAACTGGAAGTTTGTACCTTTTGTCCACCGTCACCCATTTCGCCAACCCCCCAACCCCACCTCTGGCAACCTCCAATCTCTTCTCTGTGCCCAAGAGTTTGGGGTTTTTTTGTTTTGTTTTGTTTTTTAGATTTCACATATGAGTGAAATCATATGGAGGGCAAGAAACTAATATTTTTTGAAATCTACTCTGCTCAGGTACTATACTAGATGCTAGAGGTAGCAGGGGAGAAAAATAGACATGGACATGGAGCTTAAAGGCTATCGAATGGATAGCTGATAGACAAATGATGGTATAAGCTAACGTGTACACGCAAACTGAGAAAGCGTTGTGAAGGAAAAGCACAGGGCGTTATAGGCAAGTGTAAAAAGGGCACCCAATTCAGCCTGGGAGTCAGAGAATGCCTTTTGAGGGACTGAGTTTTACATGTGGACTTCAAGGAAAGCAGGAGTTGCTGAAGAATGGAGGAAAGGGCATACGTGGGAGCAGAGCACGGCTAGTGCCTTCGTGTGAATTCAAACAAGCTGTCCCCTGAAGGCAGCTGCAGCCTGTGCCCAGCCCAGGGCTTGGGAGCACAGCCGAGCGACACGATCCTGTGCAAAGACCTCCTGAGGTGGAAAGAGCTTGATGTTTCAAGGAACTGAAGAAGAGTGTATTAAGTAAGAGGCAGAGGGGTCCCGAATGAGGTTGGAGAAGCAAATGGGCCAAACCATGCACAGCCTTGTTGGCCATGGTAGGGATTTTAGACTTCATCTTGAGTGCATGGAAATTAAATCCACACTGCTTATCACAGCCCACCAGGCTCTGCATGATTTGACCTCCCTGCCCATGAGCTCTCCCTCTCTAGGTCTCCAAAGCTCTTATTTTCTATCCTAGTCCTTCAGCACCTACCAGCTAATTTTTCTTTAGCTTCCTCCCTAATGAAATCACAAGTCCTTGACGCTGAAGTGTATCTCACACATTTTAGTTTAGCACAGTGACTTGAACATAGTAGGTCTTCAATTAAGAGTTACTGTTCTCTTTCCATTCCAATACATCAGGCTTTGGTATTTTTGAATTGGCACAAGGTCCAGAACCCTATCCAGCTGTCGTAATATTATATGAAGAAAATCTAACATTTAATAAGCACTTCTGCATGCCAAGAATTGTGTGAAGCCTTTACATGCATTATCTCATTTAATCTTCAAAGCAGTCTTATGAAATAGATACTGTTATTGTTCATATTTTACAGTGGAGTCACAGCACTTGTGACCAAGTCAGGAATCCACGTCTCTGATTTCAAGAATTTCGTACTCTTAACCACAGGGATATATGATCCCTGGGTCATTTATTCACTTAAAGATGAGATCTACTTTGACCCCATCATTACAGAGGTAATGGTGATGCAATAAATACCTATACAATGCCATATATATATATATATATATATATATAAAAGAGAGAGTAAGGGTATACTATGAATATCCAGTTCTTTACTATTGAATTATGCATATTATTTAATAGAACTTTTTAAAAAGTTATTATTGTACTCAAAAGAATCAGCAGTGTCCAAAGCAAATCCTGATGCTTCTGGAAAGAATGAGCGCTGCACCAGTGTCCAGGGGCTGCACGTACCAACTGATGAGAGAGAACCCACGTTCTCTAAGATGGGCAATAGGCAAGACTGTCTGAGAAGTAACCAACCAACCCAACAAGCAAACAAACAAAACTAGCAGAACAAAGATTATAGGTCAACGGGAGAAAATTGCAGTCAGATCTGAAAAGTCTGCAGTTTTCTGAGAATTTAGGAGACATATTGACTCTATCTTTTCTCCGCCTCATATTTGTAATGCTTAATCACTATAATTGGTGATAATTGCCTCTTCCGTCTTTGGCTCAAAGGTCCCCTGAACTTGTGAACTACTCGGGCCAGTCCATCCATTCATCCAAAGTATGCTGAGTGTCTCTAAGGAACTACACAAGTTGCAAAAGAAGCACAAAATGGTGTCCTTCTTCTCAGGGAGGGAAGATTTGTAATACAGAAGGGAGTTATACACAACTCCAACAATTGCAAAATAAGTGTCAGAGTGCTGTGTCCCTGTGATGGGCTATGGGAATTCATAGAAAGGAGGCTGGAGTGAAAGATGAGTCTAGAGCTGGGCTTTGCAGCCAAGAGTGGCCAAGGCTGGCAGCAACCTGAGAGAGCACAGTGAGAGTGGGTTGCAGGAGAGTGGAGAAAGGAACACATGAGCTAGAGATTTAGGGCTAGCGCAAAGGCAGAGATAAGATTGTTCCTAGTGTGAGAGGCAGACAATGTCTGGCCTGTTATCCTAGCCCAGCAGGGGTTCCTGGTCCTGGGGGGTGCCAGTCATGTCAGGAGTCAGCCCAGAAGGCCTTGGGCTTTCACTACAGCCATTCTCCCCTCACTCAGTCTCATTGCACTCTCTTAGGTTGCTGCCAGCCCTGGCCACTTTTGGCTTAGACCCATGAAGGGTGCTTGCTAGGGCTGACGGAAGTGATGACAGAGCTCACGAGGGCAGACTTTGGGCCTAATCACGGTGGGAGGCGAGAGTGATGGGGTGCCGCAGAGATTATACATAAGTGTGCCAAGGAGGACGTGGGCAGGTCTCAGCTAGTGTGGGTTCCTGGTCCATCTGTGACTGCCAGCTCTGTCTATCCATCCATGCCTAGGACAGTGATTGGCTATGCTTAAATAGGAAACCAGGGAAACAGAATGAGATCATCTGAGATAACATCTTCCACTCGTATGTCTTCATAGTCGTATATAAATATCAATAAGGTAACTAGAAGGCCATGCTTTACATGCCTAGAAGAGGCACACATTTCCGTCTACATAAAAACCAACAAAACATGGTGGCGTGCCTTGAGAGGTCAGAGTTAAATTCTCTGTTTAATTCTCAGAGTTAATCTTTTATATTCTTACCATTGTTAATATTTCTCTCCTATGCCTAAGGTAAAGGGGCCGATGGGGCCAAGCATGGGCCTGTGGGTCACAGCTGGAAAACATTACACCATATCACTTTTGGATGAAAGACATTTATAGCAGTGTTTTCCAGAGTGTCGATGAGATCTGCTGTGTCAGAATCATCGGGTGTGGTAGTGTGGTTTGCAAAAATGTAAATTCCTGAGCCCCACCCCAGCCCTATTCTCTAATTTCTGTTGCTGAGGCCCAAGAAGCCCCATTTTAACCAGCACCCTAGGTGATTTTTATGCACACTGAAGTTTAAGAACCACTATTAAAGACTCATGCTCTAGGAATAGGGGTACTTACTAATATCACAAAGCCATTAGGTCTCGTCATCATTAATCTTGAATTATAGACAAGGGAACATTTAAGTTAAAGTTTTGGCAGCATTAAATAAGACATGGTGGCTTACACTGAAAACCAGAAAACTCATTCAAAAATGACCTTGTCTAATAAATTGAATGCAATAGAGTAAAGCCAAGTGACTTTGCAGAAAGACTGGCCCATTTAAGCATTGCGGGAAAGCTCAAGATGAGTCATAATATAAACACTGATGATGGTGTCTTGCATCCTAAGCCTTCTCTAGTCTCAGCCAAAATCCAAAAAAGGAGAGAAAACTGCACGAGGGATGGTGGTGTCGTTTGTGACTTGCCCTTCCAGCTCCAGTCACCAGGGGCACTCCATAGAGCAGCTCTCTGTGCTTCTTCCCCATATCCTTATCCTTAGAGGAATGGGAGTGGTTAGGAGCCAGAGAGAAAGAAAGAGAATGGATAGCCTGTGAGAAGGTCAGGGAGGGAAGAATGAATAGGCAAAGAAAGCCCTCAGAGAAGTTATACAGGAGAGGAAATCCAAGGGAGAAGCCACAGATGCTGGGAAAAAATGAAGGAAGACATAGGAATGAAGAGAGAAATGAAAGAAGCAACCATTGAAGAGAAAGTAGAGGGATGTATAGCACAAGTTGTAGAGCCAGGATCAATCCAAGAAAACAAGAAATGCTAAAGGTATATGTACCAAACAACAGCGCTGCAAAATGTGTGAAGTAAAAACTGATAGAACCGAAAGGAAAAATAGACAAATCCCTAAGATCGAGAACGAGGCATAGATGTCCACTCGTACCACTCTTATTCAACATAGTGGTGAAAGTTCTCTCTAGTGTAACAAGGAAATCCAAGGAAATAAAAGGCATACAGATTGGAAAGGAGGAAATAAACTGTCCCTATTTGCAGATGACATGATTGTCTATATAGAAAATCCCAAGGAATCTACAAAAAAAAAAAAAAACCAAAAACCTCTTAGAATTAATAATAGTTCAGCAGAGTTGCAACATACAAGATAAACATATGAAAACCAATTACCAAGTGTTTATAGGCAATAAAAACTTGGACACCAAAATTCAAAATACAATACTATTTGCAATCACTCAAAAATTTAAATACTTAGGTATAATTCTAATAAAACATGCACAATTCTTGTATGAATGCTAATGAAAGAAATCAAAGGTCTACATAAATGGAGAGACATACTATGTTCATGAAATAGAAGACTCAACATAGTAAATATGTCAATTCTCTCCAAGTTGATATACAGATTTAGAGAGTCAATGCAGTTCCTATCAAAATCCTAGTAAGATATTTTTTTGTAAATATATACAAGATTATTCTCAAGTTTATATGGAATGCAAAGGAATTAGACTAGCTAAAGCAATTTCAAAAAAGAAGAGTAAAGTGGGAAGAGGTAGTCAACCCACTTTTAAGACTTATTATGTAGCTGCCATAATCAAGACTATGGCAGAGGCGCAGAATAGAGAAAGCTGAAATAGACTCACATAATTGTGTCAACTGATCTTTGACAAAGGTGCAAAAGCAGTTCAATGGAGGAGAGATGGCCTTTCCAACAAATGGTACTGGAACAGTTGGACATCCATTGGCAAAAAAAAAAAAAAGAAGACGAACTTCAACATAAGTCTCACACCTTACACAAAATTTAACTCAAAACGGATCAGGGACTTAAATGTAAAACTATAAAACTTTTAGGAAAAAAAATAGGAAATTTCAGGATCTAGGGCTAGGCAAAGAGTCCTTAGACTTAACATTAAAAGCAAAATCCATAAATAGAAAACTGATAAATTGGATTTCATCAAAATTTAAAACTTTTGTTCTGTGAAAGATCCTATTAGGAGGATGAAAAGATAAGCTACAGAGTGGGAGAAAAATATTTGTAAACTACATATCTGACAAAGGACTAATATTAAAGAACTCTCAAAAATCAAAAAACAATCCACTTAGAAAATAAGCAAAAGACATGAACAGACGTTTCATGGAAGAGAACATACAGATGGCAAATAAGTACACGAAAAAATGTGCAACATCATTAGCCGTTAGGAAAATGCGAATTAAAACCATAATGAGATAGCACTACACATCTGTTAGAATGGCTAAAATAAAAAATAGTGACAACACCAAATGCTGACAAGGATGCAGAAGAACTGGATCACACATCACCACATCGCTGGTGGGAATGTAAAGTGGTACAGCCACTCAGGAAGACAGTTTGGCAGTTTCTTTAAAAAGTAAACATGCAATTAACATACAACCCAGTGATTGCATTCCTCAGTCTTTATCCTAGAAAAATTAAGACTAGCCTTCACACAAAAACCTGTTCACAAACGTTTATAGCAGCTTCATTCATAATAGCCAAAAACTAGAAACAGCCCAGATAGATGTCCTTCAATGGACGAATGATTGAACAAACTCTGGTACCTCCATACCATGGAAATGCTCCTCAGTAATAAAAAGGAATGACCTACTGATACGTGCAACAGTCTGGATGAATCTCCAGAGAAATATGATGAGTAAAAAAAGCCAAACCTAAAAGGTTACATACTGTATGATTTAATTTACATAACATTCTGGAAATGAAAACAATTATAGAAATGAACAGGTTAGTGGTTGCCAAGGGTCAGGGAGGAGAGGAGAGTGGAAGTGAGTAGATGTGACTATAAAAGGACAACGTGAGGGATCCTTGTGGTTATGGAAGTTTTCTGTATCTTGACCACATCAATGCTGATATCCAGTTTGTGATATTGTATTATAGTTTTGCAAGATGTTGTTTTGGGGGAAACAAAGTAAAATGTACATGGGATCTCTCTGTATTATTTCTTATAACTGCATGTTAATCTACAGTTACCTTTAAAAAAAGCTTAACTAAAAAAAAAGTAATATTAGTACTTCATGATTCTCTGGTATTGCCTCCACTCTATTTCTACTTCAAGCCCCCACTCAGCTAGATGGCAGGAGTTAGATCTCAGTCAGTTGCGAGTCTCCCTATCTGCTTTTATCTAAGTTTCAGGGATTCATTAACTCGATGCTAATCTTGTGCTTGGTATCATCATCTATGCTGGTGTCCACCCAGAGTAGTGTTCAGCCGTCTGTCCACCTAGAACACTGCTGCCTCCTCTTCACCTTTGGAGCTGATGGGTCCACTCCAAGTATCATATTAGTTCTTCCTCTCAATGGGCTGCAGGAAACCTTGAGGCCATTTCGGGTCTATTTGCCAGATACACCCAGTGGGCATTCCTACTCCACAAACCCAGTGATTGGGGGGACTCGAGGACTATGCTTGGGTATTGGGGACACAGGTCTCCTTTATTTTAAGGTCCCTCAGCCTATCTGGAATCTTCTTGTGTCCCCACCCCCGCTCCCCCCAGGTTCATTTGGTGGTTGAGGAAGGGCTCAGAGCCCCGTATCAGGTATGCATGGGTATCGAGTACTCTTTGCTTCCTTTCTGGTTCTGCTCTCTCACAATTCTGAAGGCAGAGAAGGGTGTGTGACAGTGGATATATTTTTCCAAATCTTATATCTTCCTTCTGGTACTCACAGTTTCTCTTCTTGGTTCTCAGCATTCTGTTGAATTGTCCTTCTCCTGAGGGGTTGAGCATAGAATCCATTTGCTGCTGCTTGACTTGGTCACAGAGTAACAGGAAGTATGAGGAAAACTCTCCTGTCAATACATCGATATTATGCCCTGATATATTCTACCATCTTTCTGCCCTCAGCCCACTTACTCTCTGACTTGTCTTTCCCTTCAGCTTGTGGCCCAGGTCCTGGAACATAAAGCTATAGGCTTTGTGATGGTGGATGCCAAGAAAGAAGCCAAGCTTGCCAAGAAACTGGGTAAGTGTGATTTTTTGAGATATATCAGGAACAAAGGTGTCTTTCAAAAAAATGTACAGTTTCATTTCTTCTTGCATGATAACTGGACTATTTTTAAATAAATATAAAATGATCCTGCATACCTTAGTCTTGGGTTGGGGAAGAGTTTCATGACAGTAAATATTGGCCTGAATTGAATAGTTTCACATCAATCATCTAATATTTCTTTGTATCAGTTCATTGAAGAGAGTTTCTTCCTGCAGAAACTGACACTAAAGATTCCAACCTCAATTTTCAGCTCCTAGAGCAGGTTAAAAGGCCAGCTTCTCGTTCTCACCGCCATGGTGATCTCTCCGGGGGAGACCAAATCTCTGCTTCCATCACCTGTTATTTCCTTACCTCATGGCTGGTACAAAAGATAGCATTAATCGTAGTGACTCTGGGGTGCCAGTGGTTTCTAAATTTCAGGGTAAATCCCAGCTGGGCAATATCACCAAGGACGAGAGGGAGGATTTAGATGAGGTACGGTTAAGTGACTATGCAGTGCAAGATGTAATCTCTTGTGTCAATATGTCACGCTTAAGTGCAGATGCACTTGAAGATTCTTACTCCTCTAATCCCAAGGAGAGCGCGTATAGGTAACTCCTCTGGTTTTCAAATACCCACACACATGTGCTGCCCATTTTGCTTTTTCTGCATGACCAGTGAAGAATGGCTATTAAAAAAATAGCAGGAGGTTATAAAACAGGACCTTTGAAGAAAGGTTAATTGGATTTGGAGTAGTAAGCACAGGGAAAAAGAAAGATTAGTGGTGGCTCAATAAATAGCTTCAAGGTACATGAAAGTTCATTACCATAGAGAATTAAAAACAGCTGTTTTCTATTTTATTTTCAAGAAGACCAGAGCTTTTTTTTAAGATTTAAATTTTAGGACACAGCGTTTAGGTTAGACACAAGGAAGAACTCATGACTATAAAATGATAATTAATTATTAAAAATGTCTGGGGTATCTCTTTCCCTGGAGACAAATTAAGGAATTTTTTTCCCCTTGAGCAGGGGAGCAAAATATGTTAAACTCTTTCCCTAGCCAAAAGTGATTTAATGAGTTCTTCTTCCCCAGCACGTCTTGATTCCCTAGTCTTCTCCTTTCCCATTGTTTTAATGAGAAGTTGAATTTGGGGGAATTTCTAGTAAATTTAGTTGGAGGAAAACACTAATGTTCCAGCCATCTAAAAATTTAGAAAGGACAAGTTGGCCAAGCGTTTGTAAGAATGGACTGGTGGATATTCTCCCAGTGGAGGGCGTGCTGGGGCTCCAATGTCTAAATGAACCTTTCTCCAAGCTCAGCCTGGAGGAACCGGGGCAGTTCTTTCTATGATCCTCCGAGTTTGTAGGACAGTTGTATTTTCTGAAGCTGCTCCTTCGTCTTCACCCTCTCTTCCATTTGCCTGAGTTTGGTCTCCATCAGGCTGTGCCTGAACTAGTGCAGTAGCCTCCTGACTGGTTTTACTCAGAGAAAATCCAACAACAGGACACTGGCTGGTGCTCCCTATGGTCCCCTCTGTGATCAGTCATTCCCGCTTCAAGGATACCTAGCACATTGCTCCTTTAGATTTACAAATGGTGCTCTGTTATGTGCCCAGGACTCTTCAGATGTGCCCTGGGACACAGCAGGCAGTGGGCCAGACTTTCTTTCCCTAGAGGTTCTTCAGAAGAGTTCATTTGGAGAAAGCATTCTCCGGCTACTAGAGAGTTTGAAAACAATTAATCTAAGGAATTAAGGATGCCATGCAGTTGGACTAAAAGCCAGCCTCAGCTATTTAGCATTCCTGGGGGGAAATGCAGTTTTCCAGCAAACGTTTGTTAAAGTACACAGCATTATGCTGAGAGTGATGGAGAGTAGAAAAGAAGATACCGAACCTGCCCTTGCAGCATTATCAGCTAACTGGGAGAATAAGATGTGCAGAATTCAGCTGTAATAGAAAAGCAAGCTGTTCATTCTGGCCACAGACATTTATGGGGTGCCTAATGTGTCCAGGCTTTGTGCTAGGCACTGGGATACCAAGGTGATAGTGGTCCTACCCTTAGAGAGCTTACGTTAGAGTGAGTACCTGTAAATGGAGCTGAGAGAAGATCAACAGTGGCTAGGGAGATTGGGGTGGCCTTCTTGGGAAAAATGAGTCCTTAAGCTGAGACCTGAAGGAATTGACCAAGATGGACGGGGGGGTGGAGGTCACTCCAAATTTGGGGAACGAAGAGAACATCTGCATAGAGAATCACGCTCTGTGACCCTTTCACATCAGCACGTGGGCAAGAAGCAAAGGGAGTACACAGGGATTAAGAAAGCCATTCTCAAAGGAGTGCAGGGCTACCCAAGGGAGAATGTGAAGGCTACGATTAGTGCTAGGTTGTGGAGGGACTTGAATGGCAGACTAAGGAGTCAAGTGGGCAGTGGGCATTAAAACGTTTTGATAAGGAGAGTGGGGTCAGCAATATTTTTGGAAAATTAAAGCAGTGGTAGAGTGGAGAATAGACTTTTCTTGCAAGTTAAAGTCCAGTAGAATTGTTGGTTCCTGACTATTTCAATTTCAATTTCCACTTTGGGAGCCCCTCTGAAGTGTGGTTTCTAGGGAACTGATCCTGAGGTTAATGCTGGTTCCACTGATCATGACCCCACTGTCACCCAGGGACCCTGAGCCAGACCTCGGCCAACAAGATGGCTCTTCTTACGTCAGGATGACCTTGTCCTGGGGACTCTTGTTTCTTCCAGGTTTTGATGAAGAAGGAAGCTTGTATATTCTCAAGGGTGATCGCACAATTGAGTTTGATGGCGAGTTTGCAGCTGATGTCTTGGTGGAGTTTCTCTTGGACGTAAGCATTTATGCACAGTGGCCCTGCGTGGAGCTGTTTGGGTTCAAAGATAGGGGGAAGTAAAACCCCAAAGTAAGAGTAGAGAAACTAGCTAACTTGACCTGGTCAAAGACAGATTTCTCAGGCTTCACGAAAAACTGAGTGCCTGCATCTCAGCACCATTCACTTCTACTGGGAAGCTGGCCCTTAAGTCACCTTAGAAACAGTTTTATTAGTGACCAAAGGGTCACAAATCAGGACTTTGTAGCAGTAACATGTTAATTCTCTTAGCAATTATACACCAACATCCCCTGAAATCCCCCTGGCTTTGTTCCAGGGCTTCTGAAGAGGAGCTGGGGAGTGTGGGAAGGAGAGGTGGATCTTCCCCTGAAGATCAGTAGGGAGAGGAGTAACAATCAGCTGAGTTACCCTCAGGGCCCAATAAAATAGGCAGGGCTAATGAGCCCCCAAATATCACACTCCTTCTCAGCCATGGAGGTACAACACCCTCAGATCCATATGCTCAGGCAAATAGAGGAACAAACACTATAAAAATATTTTATCCATAGATAAACTTACACTTTCAATAACAGCTGTGAAGTGAAATGCTTTTGAACACAGATTCCTGAACAGATAAGGAACACCAATACTGATGGTTCCCTATCTACCAGCTAGTCGACAGTGGCCTGTTGCCTCTTTTTCACAGTCTCAAAAACCCAGAGAGAGAGTCAGAAGTGAGTTGAAGGCCACCTCCTACAAAAAAGTGCCCATAGATTCTGCTTGCCCCTCTCATTGACCCATACCCACAAGCCCTAAAAAAGTTGGGAGGGCAACAGAACAACTCTGGGCCAACATGACACTGTCCTAGCTCTATCGGCTAAGTGAAGGCTTTCAGATGCACGTCACAAACCAGACTCAACTACCTTAAACAATGAGCAGTGTGATTGACCCACATACATGGAAGACCAGAGTGAGGGCAGATTTAGATTTGATCGAATCAGGACACTAACTCCATTTTTCTCTGTAAATCACAGAAAATGCTCTTTTCATTACGTTGGCTTTGTCCTCAAGCTGACTGTTCTCAAGTTGGTTATAAGATAGCCAGCAGCAGAAGCTGATACATCACATTTCCTCCAATGAGGGGAAAAACATTTGGCCTCCCATTGCTCTCTTAAAAGGAAAGGAGAAATTTCCCAAGGCCTTCAGCCAGTCTACCCTGGAGAGTCATTGGCCAGAATTGGGTTGTCTGCCATTCCTGAATCAATAACTGGCAAGAGAAATAGAATTGCCCCCAGACCAATCAGCTAACCCCTTGAGGTAAGGTCAGTTCCTCAAAAGGCACTACTGCTGAGCTCACTGGGGGATAGTGGGATGGATGCTGAGGCACCAAGCACAAAATCCATGACTTCCCTCCAAAGCACTCTACACATGTGCCTCATTTCCCCACTGGGCAAGGAACAGTTCTCTTATTTCAACATATTTTGTGTATGTGTGTGGCATTCCAGCTAATTGAAGATCCTGTGGAGATCATCAACAGCAAACTGGAAGTCCAAGCCTTTGAACGCATTGAGGACCAGATCAAACTCATTGGGTTTTTCAAGAGTCAGGACTCAGAATGTAAGTTGTCTGTCAACACCAGCCTGTCAGTCTAAAAGCTATTTTCCCAGCAATTTATAATAGATTATCCATAAAGAGAATGGGCCATCAGCATATCCTGTGCTGCGTAGAATAGAGGGAGAATCTTCCTTGCACCCTGTGCAATGGGACACGTGCAAAAAATTATGCAAAACAGGAAGAGGAGCTGAAAGAACATTAAAGACTGAGCCATGTTCTCTGGCCTTGAAGGGGAGTTGAGCGTTTTAAAGAAGAGAGAATAGCCCTTCCTCCACTTTTTCCACCTGCCCACCTACCAATAGGATTCTTCCCCCAAATGAGACAAATAGTGGGCTGTCTCCCTGACATTGGCAGCTCCCGTGGTCACCAGTTGGAGAGTTTCTCAGTCACTTGGACAGCATTAGAGGAAAATTGGGGTAGGGATGGGCTTAGCAGCTGCAGCACAATGTGGAAAATTGCTAGTCAACCCCCGCTGACCACCGAGGCTGCCTGCAGTGGCACGGCCACACCCTGGGTATATTTCCTTTGAAAGCTTTGTGGCCAGGTTTTGGGTGGGCACAGAAACATACCATAGCATCACCACAACCCATACGGGGTGAGAGGGTGGTGAGTGGGAGTTAGGAAGAGTCAGGAAGAGAAGAGACCAGGAAGGCTAACTACTTGAGCACATTTTTTTAAACTGCTTTAGCAGCATGGACCCAATGAGTTAAGCTTTTTTCTGGTGTCTCAGCCTTGGAGGGAGGGAAAGTATTAGGGGGAGTAGGCATAACTAGGAAAGAGAATCTGGTTGCATTAGTACACGGGGGAGGTGAAAATAAGGGCTGATTACGACCATTTCTGGAAACTCCAAAATATTTTGAAATTACTTGCAAAGCTGTTTCTTTACCCCATCTGCCAACTGGCATCCTTAGTCATCTCATCGACAACCCACCAATTTTCTGTCTCCCACGACCCAAACTTAACTGTCTTCTCATTTTCTACATAAAAGCCTCTATTCACCCTCCTTAAGAGTGTGCTGGGGGAAGGAGGCTGGCCAGGAAGTTTCGCCCCCATTCTTCTTTAGGTGAATTTCTTTCAATTTTCACATTTCTATATAGATGCTGACTACTCTGGGGTGCTTCTCCTCTTTATTTCACTTCCTTCTATTTTCCTTTGTCTTTTTGTGTCTCCCCCCCTCCCCCAATTGTTTCCATTCCTTTCCATCCTTCTATTTCTCTCTCCTCCCCACTTAAGCTCAGGATAGCAGATAAGGAGAGAGGCAAGGTAAGATTGGGAAAAGAGCACGTCTTCCAGTTCCTATCTTCCCCTACCCTAAACTAATAACAGTAATAGCTCCATTTAATTAACACAAAACACCTGCCAGGGCCTATGCAGGAGCTTTATGTAGATGCCTTAATTTCATTCTCACAACCAGCTTGTGAGAGAGTTACCATTATTATCAGCGTTTTAATGATGAGGAAATAAAGGAACAGAAAGGTTGAATTAACTCACTCAGTATCACACAGCTAGCAAATAAATAGTAGAGTCAAGATTTAAATCCCAGGAATCCGATGTTAGAACTCATACCCTTACCACTGGGCTGTACTTTCCAGACTTCACAAGCTTGGTCAGGTCACGGCACACACAAAATGTGATGATGCCTGTACAACACATAGGAGTAAACTGGAAGAGATTTGGGCTTAGGGGGAAAAAACATTTTTTTACTTTCTTTATATAATATAATAATAATATACAAAATAATAAGAAAGATATCAAATATTGCATTGTAAAAATAAAATCTTTTTAGATTTTGAATGAGAATCTTGTGCTTGCCCCTAAGAATATAGCTTTTGATAATTAGGTTTTATGCTTGAAATAGCAACATGCCATTCCTTATGAAGGCTTTAAATAACCTCTCCAAATTCTTGATAGTCACCATTGGCAAGAGACTTTGCTTACACATGTGGATGGTGGCAAATGACAGGACAACATTCATTGCTTTTTCTTGGATTGATGAACAGTCTTTTTTCACCATTTAACAGAATTTAAGTAATCAACTCTCTAAATTGCCCTTCAAGGATGTAAGCATTCTTTCAATCTAACAGCTATTACTTTCCTGTTCATTGACAAATGTAGTGTTAATATTTCTTATGATAATTTGAATAGATTTCAAATCCAATTGAACTTTTTCATATTATGTATTTCAAAATAATGATGAGGCATTTCCTTAGGAATACGCAGTATTGCTCTACTGCTCTTACAAATTTTTCTTAAAATTTAAATAATAAAGTTACTAGTGAGCCATTTCAACCTCCTTTTAAAGGTTGAATTTTTGCTTTTAAATTGATAAACTTTGTCTACGTTGTGTATTTCGCATGGTCCTTGCAATTTTCAGTTAACTTCATTCAGGAGCTCAGCAAGGTCTAGCATGTTTTGAAGCCAATAATTTATCCTTCAAGAAGTTTTTCAAAGTGAGTATAATTCACAGGTTTTTTTCAATTCATGTCTTAGCTCGTAAACTCTCAATAAAACTCTCCTTAGACAGTTAGCCTGCTTTAGTGTGAAATAGCAGAGACAGGTCTTCTGAATCCATTTCTTCACCTAGAGGTAAAAAGAGAAGGGGATATGGAGGTTTAGATGTTATTGGGGTCACATTTTTTTATCACAACGTTTTATGTGGAATTCGGATCCACAGACAAAGTTTATATAACAAAGATTTTCTGTGAATAAATAACGCTTGAATCTCAAGATTTTCAGAATGAACTCAATGACAGTCTTTTTTTTTTTTTGTGAGGAAGATCAGCCCTGAGCTAACATCCAATGCCAATCTGCCTCTTTTTTTTATCTGAGGAAGACTAGCCCTGGGCCGACAACCATGCCCACTTTCCTCTACTTTATATGGGACGCCGCCACAGCATGGCTTGACAAGCTGTGGTCTGTGCGCGCCCAGGATCCGAACCTGCCAACCCTGGGCCACTGAAGCGGAGCGTGCACTTAACCGCTGCGCCACCAGGCCAGCCCCAATGACAATCTTTACACCTTCTTGTCATTACAGCCTCACCATCAGACATGAATTTGGGGGGTGTTTCCAAAATCTGTTTCAAAGTGTTCATCTACTTCTTTGGATGTTTCATCCTCAAGAACTTGGTTTGGTTCTTCTTTGCAGGACAATTGTTGTTGTTCCAAGCATGTCTCAGCAGAGTTTCTTTCTAACTGGTGCTATTAACCATGTTCAGTTACTAATGTCTGTAGGCTCACCAGTCTATGAGACTATTTTGATATGGTCATCTTCTGGATCAGGGTTAAAAAAAACAAAAAACGTAAAAACAAAGACAAAAAGAAAAACTCCTGTTTTGGGTTTATTTTTTTTTGCTCTTGTCTAAACTTTAAAACACTTAAACCTTTTTTTCCCTTGAGATGGATGTTTTGTGTTAAGGAGCCAGCTTGGTTTGCAGTGTGGTACAATTTCTTATTTTGATGCTTCCACATAAACAAGATATTTAAGCTGAGGAAAAGAAAAATAATCAGTGCAGAGAAATCCAAATTTGAGATAATACTCATTATATTGCCTAAGTAGTGACAAATGATTTTGGACTATTTTATCTTGTGAATATGAGGACTTTCCAGCAAATCCCTTACTGTGGGAAAATAAAATAATCTTAGAAATGAAATATAGTTAAACAAAAATACTTTAGAAAATTATAAGCCTTTATGGCTTCAGAAATTGGCTTTTTAAATAATGTATGTTACCCGCATTTTAAGACTTGGATAAATATCAAAAATGAAGCATAGAATAGGCATTTAAATGTTAAGTTTTATTTAATTCAATGTTAAAATTATGGAAAACTGACAAAATATAAATATTACTTTCATTCATGTATGATCAAAAATATTTTGAAAATTTGGCTTTCTGAAGCTGTAAAGGCCTACAGACACCTTTAATGAATTAATTTAATTAAATTATGTCCAATTACTATTTTTGAAAGAAATATTTTTTAATTTATAAAAACAAACAATAATACACTATTAAAATCCATCAAGAATCAGAGAGGTTAGTAGTTAATATCTATAGGCATTAGAAAAAAGAAAGAAAGAAGGAAGGAAGGGATAAATTAAATAATTCAGAAAATTAAGAAAATCAGTTTTATGCTCTTTAGGAATACCTCATACCAGATTATGTTAGTAATACTGATTATGATGACTATGAACATAAACAGATAGCAATCATACATTCCATTGATGTTCATGGAAAATATGAACATTAGAGTAAGTTAAATCAAAAGAAAAAAAATTTTAGAGTTTTACAAACCAAAAAATATCCCTGAAGACAAACAAACCTGGACTAAAGTAAACAATCACACTCTAAGAAGATTCAGTGGGGCAGTCAGGGGAGCAGCCTCTCTAGCTGTGTTGCTTGGTAAAGTCTTAGGCAGAAAATAATTGTTGTTGAACACAGGGAGTTTTTAGAGGGAGCCATTGCTTTCAAATATAATTTTAAATACTATAAAATTTTGAATGGTTGTAGAAAACATTTTGTAAGTTTTATCACCATAAATAAAAAATTTGTCTATCAAGCCATTTGTGATACACCTGTGGTTATCACACACCGACTGAAAGCATCATGGTGTTCTCCCAGACATCCGTGTTTCTCTGTCTGTTTCTTCTTGCCTTTGAAAAGAGGATGGGATCAGTGGGTGGGGAAGCTAGGAGCTGGTGAGGCACCCAGGGAAGCAGTTGTTGAGGATCCTGTATTTCTGATGTAGTTTGAGGATGATTGATCAAGGAAGTTTAATGGCACAGAGGTCATTGGCTTTGCAAATGATCTCAAGCTTTTCTATAGAGCAAAAACAATGGAGAGACAGTGGAGAAACTGGAAGAATTTAAAGCGTAGGTAGACTGGAATGGTCTTGGGAGAGAAGGATCCTAAGAGATTTGTGACCAAACTAGAAGGATCTGGAAGAACCAGGAGGCTACATCTTCCAAGGAGCCTGGGCATGAAGGTCCATATCCAGCTTGAGTGTGTAGCTATGGATGCTGGTGTTGAGAGAGCCTGACAAGAGCTTCCTGGGGAACTCAGCTGATGGTTAAGAATGCCAAACTAGGGACAATCTGGAGCTAAGGGGTCAATATCCAGTATGGAAAACCATCTGAGATGGAGAAAAATGGTGAGGAAATGTTAAGGTAAGTCTATAGTAAGCTAGAGGTTGAAGGCTGAACTGTTCAGGAACCTACTCCAGAAGGGGAAAGAAGTATCAAGGTAACTGGAGAGTCAGACTGGGAAAAGCCAGGAAGGAGCTGGTCAGCACCAAAACAAGACATGAGGGCAGAAAAAAGCCTCATGATCACAGGAGATCAGACAGAGTGGAAGACTAGACCAGGTTTCCCAGAAGACAACTGCCGTTTGGGTGAGTCTAAGGGTTTAACTACATTTTGAAGCATCAACCTGGGGTGTTAGCTTGCTCCACCTTTCTTCATCTTAAAAAGGATATAGACTGGCTCCCCAAAAGAAGAAGGGAGTTCTCCTGACATGGGTCTAGGCCATGCTTTGCATCAGGTAGGAGTTCATGCAGGTGGGGAGAGGTCCATCAGGGACAAGGGGGTCAGGGAGGCAGGGAACAGAGCACTCTCATGGATCCCACTGCTGCTTTAGATGGAGATAAATGATTTAGGTATGGCTTTAACCATTCCACTTTCTATACTCTCCCACCTCCCCTCTATTCATTCTCCAAATCTCCCCCCATCTTCTTCCCCTCCAATCCTCTACCCCAACTATCAGGCTATATAATATATTTTCTGACAACCCAATTACTTTTATGAGAATGAGTTCAGGTGACTGTGTATCAGTATGTACAGATGATCTTGTAAATTTTTCAACCCTTCTCCCATCTGTGCTTATTGCACTTACCTCTATTCTAGCAACTATCATATTGCATTGTGATTCTTTAAGGGCCCATAACCCTCCTTGGGCTGTGAGTCTTTGCGATTAGTGTCCTTGTCTTACTCATCTTGGTGTCCCCTGAGCCAGCATTATTCTTGAAATGTTTTTGATTGAGTATTAGAAAATTCTGCATGCTCCCAGAATTCCAGCAAAAGCTTAATGCTCTGATGATTAAGGGATATGGAATTCCATGAAATGGAAAAAAGCTAATCTTGTTAAGAATGAATCATAGGATCATTGACTCTCAGGATTATAGACTTTATGCAGAATAATCACCAACACTGCCACCATTACCATTACCAATACCCTCACAACTAAGGTTTGAATATGAATGTCCTTACCAAGTAACTGTCTAGGTGGCATAAGGCACAGCATGGCCACACTTGCCTGGTCTCATGACTATTTTGACCAATTTAGACTCAAGTTTGGGACCAGAGTCAAGCATAGGCTTGATTAATTTTAAATCTTGCTCTCAAGCGATCAGAATAAAAAAAAGAAAACTTAAAACGAGGGAAAGAAAAACTGGGATTTACCAAAAGAGATCCTCCTGCTAAGAAATTTAAAATATTTCTGTGATGTCATTTTTGAGTGAGATTCCTTTATGTACAAAGGTGGATTTTCTTCTTACTTAGTGTTCATGTATACAGCAGGCTGCACTCTCTCTAGAGGGCACACTTATAACCAGCAGTGAGTTTGATTGAAAGAACTTTCTCTTCTGGTTTGGAATTTGACATTGATTTTTCTCTTTCTTGTCCTCTCTTGGTTACTTCTGTTTTCTCCTTTCCATCTACAAATTTCCTAAAATGCATAAAAGTGTGGTAAAGAGCCTTTTTGGATGATTGAATGCCAGTCAATTCAAATTCCTTGGGGGAAACTGTGGGTTTAAATAATACCAAACAATTATCTATCTAAATAATATCTACTAAATAATAATTATTATTAATATTAATAATTATATTAGATGTTATATATTAATAATCATCTTTAAATAATCCAATCAGGATTAATTGGCTTCCCACTCTCTCTACATTATTAAAAAAGAGAAATTTCTGCAGTATGCATCTTGAAAATATCTCTCCATTTTATCTTTTTCTCTTAGATTATAAGGCTTTTGAAGAGGCAGCTGAACACTTCCAGCCTTACATCAAATTTTTTGCTACCTTCGACAAAGGGGTAAGTTTCTATGAAACCTCAATTTGAACACTTTTGTAGGCACAAATATTAAAGTTTGAACTTTCCACCACTTTTTCTTTTAGCAACATTAACCATCTTCCATCCATTAACACTTTCTCAAGTGTTAGAAATAAGTCAGTAAATCACTATTGAATGAGAGATGAGAACAAAGATGATTAATTCAGAGGATGGAAGGATATTTCTGAAAACATCCAGTGAAAAGTGATGAACCATTCTTTATCACCTTGAACACTAAGAATGGGAAGTGTGTGAACCCAGGGTGTGCCGGGATGCTGGTCACTGCTTCCTTTTTGCTTAGAGCCATCCTCTCCCTTCCTGGGGTTGCATCCTTCCCCATCTACTGTGTTAGGATGGAGAATAGAATGGGGAGGAGCCCTGGGTGCTTCTGAAAGTTACCTGCATCTTCAGGAGATGGCATTGATGTACTTGTCTTAATTCAGTTGCTCTTTATTTTCTGGATGTGTCAAGTGCTTTTATAACCCAAAGAACAGCAGAGCTAGAGGGACCTTGGATCAATGGGTAATTTATTGGGGGTCTACTGTGGTCCGAGTACTCCAGTCTGGCTCCAGTTGCTACTAAAATGGCTACTATTTATTGAGTGCATTCTGTACGTTGGGCACAATTTGATATGCTGCATTTATACTATCTCTATTCTAAACTCCAAAAAGTATGAACTTCCACTTCCCAGATAAGGAAAAAAGATTTACAAAGGTTAAGTAATAGCCAGAGTCTCCAGCGAATTAATGGTAGTGCTGAGATCCCAATTTAGGATCATTTGTGCCCAAAACCTGTGCCCTTGCCTCTGTACCACACCATTATGTAGACGACTCTGTACCTGCCCTTGAGATTCAGGGCACATACCCACACACCCACACTCATACTCACATCCACACCCACATAACATACAACATACACATAGCATACCCAACACATACATACATAACACACACAACACACACATACATAATATATATAATATTATATAATATATAATAAATATATAAGTAATATATATACTTACACAACACAAACATAACACACCTCCTCACGAACACCCACACTCACACTCACACACATATAACAACCCCAGTACACACACACACTCACATCCACACCCACACACATATAACTCACACACACCAAGTAAAAGCCCTAAGTCACCATATTTACTAGAACAAATAAATATAGAACAAATTAAGTCCTGATTAAATTCAAGTAAAAGTTAATGAGCAAGTGGCCCACTGAGGAGTAAGGCAATTGGTGAGCAATGCTCATGGGCCTTTATACTATGAGGAGTTCAAGTATTCTGTGAAAAACAAGAGGAAGCCTGTAGGTGCTGAAGCACGGAAGGAGTATGATGAAAGGAGATTGCATTCAATTCATACATATATTGAACCATCTCTGTAGATATGACCCCTGTCTACAGCCCAGAAGAGAAGTCTCTAATCTAAGTAATATAATCTAAACTCGAAGAAAGTTTACCCTAATTGGTTGGATTAGAGTTGGGAGAGATCTTGAGCAAGAATACCAAAAAAAATAATAACTGTCATTTATTAAGTGCTTTTTATGTGCCAGACTTTGTGCTAAGAGCTTTATGTATGTTTTCTCATTTAATCCTCTCACCACCCCATAAGAGAGGGATTAGTATTCTCCATCTACAGAGGATGAAACTGAGACCCTGAGAGATTAAGTGATTTGATCCTGGTCACATAGTTAGTGAGTAGTGAAGCTTAATATAATCTCAGGTCAGCCTGACTTCAAAGTCAATGCTCTGTACTGCTGTACTCCAGAGAAAGAAGCAATACATGTAAGATGCTTAGCTGGCGTCTGGCACATAGTGAGCATTCAGTAAATGTTAGCTAGTACTGTTGTTAAGAAAAGGCAGTCTCTAAGCCCAGGAAGGTGGGGGTTGGGAGAGGATGTTGGTAGAGAAGGGGAGATACAGGGAAGCTAAGCTGAATACATCACTGATGTTTAGTTATGATGGGCCAGGAGTGACCAAGGTGGCTCCTGGGAAAGAACTCATCTGAGGGAAGAGAGAGTCAGGCAGACAAGCTTGGCCAAGCAACAAAGCCTTAGTTCTTAGAAGGGTGGTCCAATGCTGAGTTCAGAGTAGTGTCTGTTTTCAGACATGCCTCCCAGCCCAACCATATGGCTTCATGTCTGTGGCCCATGAAGAAGGGGAGGTCAGGCTATAATTAAAAACTCAGAAAGCTCTTCACCAAAAACTCTGTGAGACATTGAGTCATAAGTGCCCCTGTTCATGTAGCCTTGTGGGTGCATAACATTTAGTCATACGCTGCTTAACGATGGGGATACATCCTGAGAAATGCATCATTAGGCAATTTTGTCATTGTGCGAACATCATAGAGTGTATTTACACAAACCTAGATAGTGTAGCCTACTACACGTAGGCTATATGGTACTAATGTTATGAGACCACCGTCGTCTATGCAGTCTGTGGTTGACCAAAATGTCGTTATGCAGCCATGACTGTAAGAAGAGAAAGGCACACTCTCTACCTCTATGTGGAACACAGAGGGAAGGGCTGTTGCACTGAGAGGATTTGATGCCATTTGGGACTTAAGAACTTGCACCTATCAGTTGGAGAGTGGGGGGATGACAGTGCCCAACAGGAGATGGTGGATTCCAGAAGGCATGGCTGCACCCAGTAGAAGCCTCAGTGGTGTCCAGCAGAGGATACTAGAGCAGAAGAGGTGGCTGAAAAGACCTGTTTGCGAGACACACCGTAGGGAATCCCAGAGGGACCTGGAGGAGGGGAGGTGCTTTGTAACGGTTGGAGTCAGGAGAAGCAAGGGCCAAGGAAGCACTAATGCAGCCCCAAGATGAAAACCACCTGGCAGAGGTGGAGATGACAAGAGGACCTGGCCACTGTTGAGATGAAGGAGAGGAAGATGAGAGAAGACACAAAAATAACTGAAGATTACAAGTCTCAGCTTAAAGGCACAAAGATTGTGAAGCTACTGGAAACATTAGGAAGTCTAGGAAAAAGAATCTATTGAGGAACATAAGATGGGGTGGTGATCTCTAATTTCTACAAGTTGAGGAGACATTCAACTCGAGGTGTCTTTCATTTATTCATTCATTCACTCACTCAGCAAGCATTTATTGAGTGCTAAAGTGCTCTTTGGCATCACTCTTCTAGATGCCAGGGACACAATATCAAGCAAAACAGATTCCTATCCTTGTAGAATTTAGAGTTTAGTTGGGGAGGGGAGAAGATGGGAATACAGAAAGTAAGTGAACAAACCAATAAATATATTATATTAAATACGTATATGACTCAGAGAACCATAAAAAGGGTGAGATATCAGGGCTGCTGATGTAGATTTGGGAGTTAGGATTTCCAACCACTGTCCATATTGGTATCCCCCAAGGAGCCTTTAAAACCATGGATTCCTGGATCCCACACCTGGTAATTTGGATTTTTTAGGATTCTGACCAGGCCCAGGTGTATGCATTTTCACAGAGGTCCCTGGGGAATTTCACCTGGCACACAGGTTTGGGACCAGCACTAATCTGTGGATCCTGATCCTGATTCAAGCCACATGAGGGCCTGACCTTTCTGAAGCAAATGCAGCTAGAGAGAGTCAGAGGGCTAAGGATGGCGACTGCTCTGCTGCACCTCACATAGAAACACATCAGTTCTAATTATCCCATGGCACCTGCCACTGTCTAGTTCTTTTCTTGGAGTGAACAGTGAGAAGCAAAATCATTTTTTCGAACCATATTGGGGCCAAAAGAAGCTGTGATTATCTAAACCAAGTTAATGGAGAAGACAGATGTTGAGAAGGCCTAAATTCATGAGTTGGTTTCATTTGCAACATCTGAAATGGCTTGCCAACTTATAGAAAAAACATCTGTATCAAAATTCACACTCGTGCAAATGTCAGAAAAATGGCCATTGTCTTTGGCAAAATTCATTCCAACTAGTTAAAAAAAAAAAAGCACAAAAGATCTCATTATATGGACCTCTTCAGCTTTTAATAATAAAATCCATTCTTACATAATTGTACCACCCATGAACCAGGTCTGGTCCTAGAACAGTATGTTGGATACAGAAGCCCCCACTAAATATTTACTGAATAAATGAATGAATCAATGCCACAGTCAATCAAATCTCTTTCAATCCTTACCGTCCAAGATGCAATTGAGGGCTGGCCCCATGGCTTAGCGGTTAAGTGCGCGCGCTCCGCTGCTGGCGGCCAGGGTTCGGATCCCGGGCGCGCATCGACGCACTGCTTGTCAGCCACGCTGTGGCAGCGTCCCACATAAACTGGAGGAAGATCAGCATGGGTGTTAGCTCAGGGCCAGTCTTCCTCAGCAAAAAGAGGAGGATTGGCAGATGTTAGCACAGGGCTGATCTTCCTCACACACACAAAAAAAAGATGCAATTGAAAGAAAGGGATTCTCTGAGATTCAAGATGAGGGCACTCCACGTGGTGGTGGAGATATAGTGAACAGGCCTCTGGAACATCTTGCCCAGGGTTCCCAAGACTTACACTTAAGAACATCACAATCCAACTTTACATTCATGGTCTTAACACTACAGATCCAGACACTGGCACTCCAGGACCAGACACACACACATATGCACGACACACCCACATGTGCATCTACCCTGCTTACTTTGATGGAGGTTCTGGTGAGCTCCTTCTCACCTTCAGGAAGCCTCGGTTCTATAGATTGTGATGGGGGATGAATTGATGAGAGCATATTATAAGAGGAACAAGGAAACATCTCACTAAAACATGTGCAGTACCAATGTAATATTTACAGGGACATAATATTCATTTCTGTAAAGTGTCAAGGAGAAGGCAATTTTCAAATGAATGGAAAGTTGGAGTAGAGGCAAATTGGTAGTTCAGAACACTCCACTGCCTGGGTTTAAATTCGGGCTCTATCCCCTCCAGATATATGATCTCGACAAACTACATACACAAATTGTGCCTCAGGTTCATCATTTGTAAAATAAGGATAATAGTTCTTACCTCATACAATCAAAGTGAGGATTCATAAAGTAATCAACCTAAAACACTTTGCAACAGTGCCTGGCACACAGTGAGCACTCCATGTGCTTGCTATTATTACTGTTTTCATTCATCCAGTCACTTCATATAAGCACAGTTTCCTGGTTCCTAGACTATGAAGTAAGTGAACTCAGAAAATGAGAATCTAATGTCATTTTCAAGCCCATTCTATGACGGCCACAGCTTTGCGAAGAACCATGTGTAAACCCAGACACTGGTTGGATAGTTGCTATTTTCACCCCCACACTCCCCACCTCATCATCCACACCACCCCCTACCCCGTAAAAGAGGGAACAAGTAAGAAAAACCCCACACATTCCTTCCTCTTAAAACAAAATCAACATGCCCGTAAAATCTCCTTTGACTGACTGTAGCTTTTAACACGGACTGTTTTCCATAGCTCTGAATAGGATGCTGGAGTTTCATGCCCTTAAGTACTGTCAGAAATGTCTTGGAATATAGTGACCTGTAATTAATGGCAATTGATGACGAAAGCCATACGGATACCAGCGTTTGCTCAGAATGGACCTCCTTGTGTAACGGCTTATGTAACACCCGGTTCCTCCCCCTCCCGAATTAGTCACCAGTGCCCTGGGCCTCTGCACCGTTGGTTACCACCACAGGGCGTCAGCTCTTAGGCAATTCCTCTTTAGTTTCAAGGGAACCACTGTTCATCCCTGTGCTTTCTTGGACCATAGCTCTGAACTAGAAAAGAATGGCATTTGGTTTTCTACACAGCATTGCACATTCCAGGCCTCTCCAATCATTTCACAAAAAGAGGTCTGAGTTCAGCAGCTCTGCAGGCGAACACAGCAACCATTCTGCCCTGACAACAGACAGTGTGGCCACTTTAATCAAGAAAGGAGATGTCATCCAGGCTACGGGTTGGCTCCCTGAGCTTTTTATCCGGTATGGGGTGAGCAACTCATCCTGGCTTGCTGAGTACTCTCCCAGTTTTAGCACTGAAAGCTTGAATCTCAGGAAACCCCTCCACTCTGGACAAACCAGGATGCTTGGTCACCTTATGACTGGTAAAAAAGCAGGCAATTCCTAGAGGCTGAGAAACCATCAGAAGAGCCCAGGACTGAGAGATAACCCTAGGGCCAGTGCTTCAACCCAAACAGCAAGTAGGGTTTGTGAGCTTATCAAGGACAGATTTATGGGTTGGCCTCTGATTCTGAGTGCCTGTATGCTTTAAATGGTTTCCATCAATTGGCTATTCTATCAAAATTGATTCAATTAAATCCATACAATCCAGGACACTGAGCATGCTCTGTTGACATTTGCTTCCTCCTCCAGCCCTGGCAAATACAGTGGAGTGATGGTGACAGTAGAATTAAATTTCCCACTTTTCATTCCGACTGCTCCCTGCCCCTGCTTGGACCGCTTTTGCCAGATAGGTTTTTTCTCCCTATCTGTCCTTCTTTGGTCAGTCCAGTTAGACCTTAGGTGATGAGTTCCTATCACTTCAACATTTAAGTTAAAACTGTACATACACTCTCGTGTCTTTGCCAGAGAACACACATACTTCTTATAGACGGACAACCCACTGCTACTCTAAACTAGCATTCAAGGAAACTATTGTCTTATTTCTGATTATTACAGGTTGCAAAGAAATTGTCCTTGAAGATGAATGAGGTTGACTTCTATGAGCCATTTATGGATGAGCCCGTTGCCATCCCCAACAAACCCTACACAGAAGAGGAGCTCGTGGAGTTTGTGAAGGAGCACCAAAGGTGCCCCAGATGGCATGCAGGGGATTGTGGGGGTGGTGGTGGGCTCCAGGGTCTGGGGAATAGAGGAGGGCCACTCAGTCTTGACATTTCAGACCCCCAGGAGCAGCAACCTGGAGTTGGTACCCCGGCAGAACTGGACTCAGCAGTATGGCTTTGTTGGTCATTGATCAGTGGTAGTGATGTTGCTACATTTTCTGATTTTGGGTCTACACTTTCAAGCAGGGTTAGACCCCCTCTCCCAGGTCAGCAAATCCCCTCAAAGTCAGAGTAAGATATAAGTAAAATTGTACAATAATAACGATAGTGATTTGGTGACAGCCCCCTATATGCCAAGTACCATGCTAGATGCTCATGGAAGCTATTTTATCTAATCTTCAACATTATGGAGGAATTAGGATTATCCCACTTTTACAGTTCAAGGAATTGGTCTCAGAGTAGTTAAGTAACTTAGCCAAGGGTGAACATTCTATACATAGAACTTCTGGGAGAGGAATATTTGATACTACTTGGAGTAGCTCTAGCATAGATTAGTCAACTTTTTCTGTACAGGGCCAGATAGTAAATATTTCAGGCTTTGTGGGCCAGATGGTCTCTGTTGCAACTTCTTAATTCTTTTGGCAGTAAATGTGAAAGCAGCCATGGACAATATGTAAACAAATGGATGTAGCTATGTCCTAATAAAAGTTTATTTATAAAAACAGGAGGCACTGGCTGGATTTGGTCCACCAGCTGTAGTTTGCTGACCCCTGCTCTTGAGGGAAAGACAATATTAGAACATGGAACATGGTAGTGGGATCACCACCTTGCCCACCTATCCTCCTGACACATGCTCATATAAGTTCATTGAACCTGGGCACTATGATTCCATCACCCAGTCAGTCTTAGTCCCTACAGGGAGGCAGTACTTGGAGGAACAAATATCAACAAGTCTAACACTATTTGCCAACATTCAAAAAGAAATGAAACCATGAGCAATATATAAATCCTACCTACTCCTCCAAACATCCCTAAAGGACTTTTGGTGGATGACCCTGATGATAAAACAGCTACAGTTCTGAGTTAGGAAAACCAAGACTTCCTGTTTTCTCTCCCAGGTCTCCTCATTCTGGGCCTACTCTGGGTTCTCAGGAGTGGTATCTGACTGTGAGGAGGGAAATGGCTTCTTGCCCTGGGAATGAGCTGACCCTGTACCCTCTGACCAATTGTTTGTAATAGACTTTATAACTGTTGGATCAAATGGGTCTATGAAGAGGCTGAGAGCATCGGGCTCAGCCCTCAGTGTGACACAGCAGGGTAGATCTGCTCTGTCTCCTCAGGGGAGAAACCGGTTTGCAGAGCTCCTCATGCTCTTGCAAATGAACCAACATCTCGTTTTACATTTCCTTATGCTGAGACTGCACTGTCTGCCTTGGTAGTCCCTACTCAAGGAAGTTCATCTTTTTTCTTTTCAGACCCACTCTACGTCGCCTGCGCCCAGAAGATATGTTTGAAACATGGGTAAGAAAGTGGCAAACTCTTTCTGCCATGTAGAGATGGGTATATTCCCCAAGAGGAATACTCCTTTGAGTCCCAAAACTCAAACCAAGTATTATTTGGCTGGGGTGGATGTCTGGATAGTGGAGTATTTGAAACATGGACAACGTCTCTCTCAATTGAACCCAGTTCTCCTTGGATCCAGCTTAATCCTCTTTGGTCTACCCACTAGGCAAAATTACTCTGTCTCTGAGTTCATTTCCTACAGTGACTACTGGCTTCCATTAGTTGGCTGCCAGAGACCCAGGGTAACATAGTGGAAGGAGCTCAGGCTATGGAGTCACAGAGACTTGGGTTCAAGTCCAGAATCTGCCACCAAGTAGCTTTGCATCCTACATTGAGTCATGTGATCTTTCTGAGCTTTAGTTTCTGCATCTGAACTCAAGGCTTTCTGTAAGGATGAGTAGATTGAAGAGCCCAGGACATGGTAGGTAGGTGCTTGATTAATGAATGGTAGCTGTTTTTATAAAAATCAACCCAAGGCGCTGGAAAGCGCTGGGTCGGATTGTCCCATAGGTCTAGGTCATAGACAGTATGTCAGATGGATCAAATGGGTATTAGAAAGAGGGCTTTGGAGATACACCCCCCACCCCACCCCAGCTTTATACAAAATTCTGGAAACAATAACAACCAAAGTCTGTGGAGCATTTTTTAAAGCATTTCATGTATCCTTTTACTTGGCTCTTTCAACAGCTCTAAAAAGTGATGTAAAACAAGAATTATTTCAGCCCCATTTTACATGAGGAAACTGCTGATCATATGGATTAAATTAATCACTCAAGGATATATAACTAATAAGTATTAGATCCTGGGACTTAAATTTAGGCCATCTAGAGCCAAATCTCATGTTCTGTCCAATATACCTCCCTAGAGTGGGCCATGTCCTCATAAGGCACCATTTTTTGAGGGGGTGGGGGGCGGTGCAGAGAAAGGGATTAACATGGAAGCATTTATTTATTAATTCTTTAATTCAGAGTCTAAAGTGACAGATGAACAGAATCATGGAGTAACTTGACACTTCTTGTTTCACTGGCGTATAACTTATTCAGATGTCTGAAGGTAGAACACACATTTCACACTGAAGGGCAAATAGTCCAGTCTAGAGGAGTGGACTATTTAAGAACAACACAGCATAATAGAAACATATTTTCCTAACATTTAAACCTTTCAAAAATTTAACCTTTAAAAGGTCTTGTTATTAGATTTAAAAATAAACAAGGGTATAACAATGCTTTAAATATAATATTCTTTTTAAAATATTTTTACTTTTCCATTAAAATAATTGCAGACTTACAAAAATAGTACAAAGAATTCCATTATCTCTTTACCCAGATTCTCAAATGTTAACATTTTACCACCGTTGCTTTATCACGCTCTCTTGATAGAGAGATAGATATAGATTATTTTCCTGAACTGTCTGAGAGTAAGTAGCAGATACAATTCCCCTTTACTCCTGAATACTTTCAGATGTTTTATAAAAACAAAGACTTTCTCTTACACAACCACAGTATACTCATCAAAATCAGGATAATAATACTAATACAATCCTACTATCCCATCTATGGACTTTATTCAAATTGACCAGTTGTCCCACTGATGTCCTCTACAGCAAAAGAAAAAATTTTTTTCCTAGTCCAGGGTCCAATCCTGGATGGCACACTTGCATTTGGTTGTTATGTTTCTTTAGTTGCCTTTAATCTGGAAGAGGTTCTTGGTCTTTGTCTTTCATGACACAGGGTAGCATTTTAAATTGAGAGTGATTATTATGGTTACATTCTGCTATGCCTTTATCCTTAGTTCTTCTTTTCAGTTTCTCCATCTCTAAGAGATAAGTCTCTATTATCTAGTCTCCTGGAAGGGAGAGACTACGAAATTTAGAACCCTTCTCTCAGGACTTCCCTCACTGACACAGCAGTATCACATCCAAGACCACCACACCATAGCGGGAAATGTCCTGCCCCTCTCCCCACCACAAACACCCCCAACACCCCACACTGCCCTCAGAAATGCTCCCTTTGACCATATCAGAAGCAGGTGTTCAGAAAGAAAGTTCACTCTCTAGCTTCATTGGAACTCATTCTCTGCTTTCTTTTCACTTAATGAATAAGTTACAGCTTTTGCTATAATATAAAATAACAGTGATGGCTCATATTTTCCACATTATTATATATTCAATTGTTTTCTAACTGGGAAAGGTTGAGTAGTGAATTTAACCAGGTAGAGAAAAGGGCAGCTAGACTGCTTTACTACTTTCCAGCATCCCATCATGGAATACTCACATGGCTTCTCCAGAAACCCGAGCCGTGCTCTCATCCAAGTCTCCAATTAGGGACGAAGGCAAGACAAGCCCTCCAGGGTCACCTTCACATCCTGAAAAGGGAGAAGCAGAAATCAATCTGTCAGAAGGATCTCTGGGAGCCACTCTCCCTACCCCGACCCCATCACCCATGCCTACCCAGGAGGGCACCACTCCAAAGAACAGCATCTCCATGGGCCACATGGCCGCAGCAACTTAAACCACACATGTTGGGGAGAATGACCAGTTAATGAACTTAGAAGTCTTTATCTTCAACCCCCACTTCCCTAGTCATTGCAAAATATTAAATAAGATGGGAAAACTAGGTAGGGCTAAAGCAGCTATTGACCTTCTTGTGTCCCCAACTGTGCAGGGTTTTTTTTGTTTTTTGTTTTTGTTTTTTGTGAGGAAGACCAGCCCTGAGCTAACATCCAATGCCAATCCTCCTCTTTTTTGCTGAGGAAGACTGGCCCTGCGCTAATATCTGTGCCCATCTTCCTCCACTTTATATGGGACGCTGCCACAGCATGGCTTAACAAGTGATGTGTCGGTGCATGCCTGGGATCTGAACCAGCGAATCCCGGGCCGCCGCAGTGGAGTGCACACACTTAACCGCTTGCACCACCGGGCTGGCCCCCAACTGTGCAGGTTTTTAAAGCAACAAATCACAGAAAACACATAATTTACTATTACTAAAGAAATTGGTGCTTAGCAATATTTGCTGTATGTAAAGCAGATAGCTATTTATTTATTTAGACTATTCAAAGAATGTCAACGTGGGGCAGGGTGGTCCAGACCTAGTCCTGACCTGTCCTTCTCCTTTGAGATTCCACCTTCTCGCTGGCTTTGCATCCCGACAAATGGTCACCCAGAGTCCTGGGCAAAAGCCCACAGGGATGGGAGTCTGCAATTCCTTCTAAAAGAATCCTCCCTCTGTTGCAATGGTGAAGTAGTTCCAAGAGTGGGCCAGGGACCTCCTGATGAGCCCCTGCGTCACTCCATTGTGTCTTAATTGGGGAATCTGCTAGTTTTACCTGCATTTTTTTCTCTGCATCTCTTCATTCAGCATGAGAACAACCATTAACAGAGACTGGAAGGAAACAGAGCCAAATATGAACATTGGTAATATAGCTGGTTGGTGGGTAATTGATGTTTAGTTTCTTCTTGGTATCTCTAATATTTTCTTCAAGAGGTATATAAGATTTTTATCACCATACTCTTTCTTTTAAGTCAATAGACATTGAGAAGAACCTATTACATTGTGCTAAGCGCGGAGGTTATAACAATGAACATTGCTGTGCTGTCCTTAGGCAGGCAGGGTTGAGTAGATGAAACAGTCTCAAAACTTCTAACGCCAGTCCAGTATGCTCGCTGCCACGCCAGAGGGATATACAAAGTGCTAGGGAATCTAGAGTAAGGTGTTCACCAAAGTAACTCCCAAATTTCCACTTCTTTTGGGGACCTGGGCCTCAGTCACTTATAGAAAGTCCTTATAGAAATGACCGTTATCAGCCTCTTTTACCTTAAGCAAGAGTCATTGACTTGACTTTGCAACATCTTCTGCAAACTCTGCAGGGAACAGTAGATTCATGGAGCCTATTCTGCTGCTGTTGGTGATATCAAGGAGGAAATTTTTTTCATTTATCCTCTTAGTTCAGTATTAGAGGTCTGAAAATTAAACTGACAAAAGATAGATTAGCAAGAGAAAAAACAGTTTTAATTACCTATTTATGCATGAGAGTTCACAAAGAAATGTGACTGCAAGAGGGGCTTATATACTGTCTTCGTAGGGGATTGGAAGGGGCAGAGGGGCACTTCTGGGAGAATAAATTTAGAAAGGGAGAGAAAAAGGATGCTTAAGGAAAAACAAATGACTTTTTGGAAAGACAAATGGGCCCTTAGAAGAATAGATGGGAGATATGATCATTTTGTGATAATGTCTGTCTGAGAAGAAAAGGTTAGAGCTGCTCCTGGGGAGTGGATTTATGACAATTGAGTTCTTTTGGGAGACTATGCTTTTAGGCAGATAAGGGATTTCAGGGATTCAAATGTCTTCAGCTCAAAATAATTTTTATGCCACAGTGGCTTATTCTGGACCCCTTCAGTCCAGAGCAGAGCATGGGCTTTGGGGCCAGACAGAACTGGCTTGAATCCCAGTTGTCTTATGTACTAGCTCTGTGGCCTCAGGTAAGTCACTTCAATTCTTTCAGGATTAAACAGGAATGACTTCTATTTGAGATTCATTTGAGACTGATACAAACAGTGGCAAATGGCAGATATTGTCACCATTTTAATCATCATTTTAAAGTATAATCCCTTCCCTCAGAGAGCTTGCCATCTGGTTGAGGAGGGAAGATTGGTACAGCTAAAAAGATAATTTCCGAGGCAATGTGATCTAAAGACCAAGTGGGTGACCTGGGCAGCAAAGGCTGTGGGTTCAGAGAAAGCCCCTGGGGTGGCCCCAGTCCTGCGGGTGGTCAGCTCAGCTCATCCTCACCCACGCGCGTTGGATTCTCGCTGAGTAACCCGGACTCACAGGCTTTCCCATGCATTCTTGCTCTGTGAGTTTATTACTGGGAATCCCCGGCGCCGAGCACACGCCCGCTTCTCTGCAGGTGTTCACTACAGGTTGATGTGCTGAATCTTTGAGACCTACAAAGAAAGAGGCTCTTTCCGCTGGTTACAGCTCTTCATCCAGAGACCATCTCAGGCCTGGGGACTGACAGCCATATTATGAATGGCCTCTTGGCAAACGAATATGGATTCTTAATTTTAAAACCAATTTCCAAATGCGTTCTAGAAGGGCATACAGAAATGAAGCCTGCTTCACAGAGTTAACACCACTTGCTTCCAACTGATGGCAGGAGATAGACACACAGGGCAGCCTAATGAGAACTGATCAGGATGTTCTGTCTGGCGATAATAGCAAATGTAAAACAGTGAAACCTGCGACTCCCCTTCTGGTCGCTGTCGGATTTGTGTAATAAACCTGCACACACACTCGCACACACATATATCTGTAAAATTCAATTCCCCAGAGAATCTGACCAAGGCAGTGCCCACTCTCTTGTTTTTAATAATAATATTTTCCATTTAATCTTGCTTAGAATTTTCGGAGGTTTTGTTCATTCCAAACTCAAAGGAAAAAAATTAGCATTTAGATAGAATTGCACTAGCATTAAAATCAATTGAAATGAAAACAGGGATCATGGGAGGGTTGAGATGCCTGGAGTTTTTTTTCCATAGGATGATCCTGATATGACATTCAGGGTGCCCAATGCACCCCTCTCCCTGTGTCAGCAATAATCAGTATTCACTCAGATTTGTCCCTGGTGCCTCATTCTCACATATCTTCCTCTCCGTGTCTCCTGAGGATCACATTGCTTATAATAGAGGCCCCTCCAAGCCCTCACTCTTCCTTCTGCAGGAATAATCAATGCAAAGAAGACACAATGCAAGGCATATGGTCCTTTCTGTCCAGGATGTAGAAACATGGGATGCCACTTGCTTGCCCATGAATTTGAAATACTCTCCCCAGATTTTTTTTAATGCTTTGTCCTGGGCTCCACAGCCTTACCCAGTTTTCACCGTCACACCCTCAACCTTCCCTAGCCCCAGTTCCAGATTCTTCCTCCCCCGACACTCACAGACATGCTTTAGCGGCCTATACTGCTTCAGCAAGCTTTGGGTCCAGCGCAGAAAGGACCCCAAGGAAACAACCTGGAGGTCACAATCAGCAAGTCACCCCCTACTGACTACACAGGTTCTGTTCCTTCAATAAGAGATGTCTTAACAGATAAGCACAGGTGTATATGATTCTTGTGTGGCCAAAACAGACCCACATCCTAATTTGCCTCAGAGTCCTGTCCGCTGCCTGTTTGGGGAGTTTCAGGATCTGTAACAGCATTCAGAAATTTCCATGATCTGGTACATCGCTGATCATATTTGCTGGGGATGAATTCTTGAAACAGACTGACATCTGCCTTCACTGAGCTGCGTTCAGAGTGTTTGTTGCCCTCAGAGCTCCCGACGAGCGAGACTCACATTCTCCCTCCTTTTGCCTTTCACTGCTGCTCTCCTGGACCCTCCAGACCATGAGAGTGAGGCCCATTCAGTGCTAACGTCACACATGTAGTTGGTGTTTCTCCGTCTTGCAAATCCACTTATCAAACTCCACGCATTCCTCCCAGCTGCTCATCAGTATCCCCGTCCTTAACAGGTGCCCTGCTCTGCTCCTCTGTGCCCCCGTGTCCACTCCCGCTCCACTGCCTCCCGGCCACCTATTTCCTTTCCAGCCTCTGAGTCTGTCCCTGACTTGCTCCTTTGTATCTCTCCACCTGGGAGTGTAACCTTTGGCTCTTTTCTCCCACAGGAAGATGATTTGAATGGGATCCACATTGTGGCCTTTGCAGAGAGGAGTGACCCAGGTAGGAAACCCTGACTCTGCTCCTTTACACCTTAAGCAAGAACTGACATCTCCCCTTTGTCAGCCCTCACCCTTTCCCTTCCCTAAGTGAACCGCAAGATATTGGGCGCCCCCTGGTGGTCGCCTGTGCCGTAGGAATCCGCTTTCAATTGTACACACAGCTAGAAGACATGTGGATAGATCAGAACCTCATTCTGCTTAGCTTTTGGAGTAGGAACAAGCACTGAGTACTGAGGAGGATGTTGGAACATCGTAGCTTTACAGGCTGTGTGTTGTGTGTATGTGTGTGTGTGTAACTTCTGTTCACATTAAAAGTTTATTTACCAATTTTGTGATCTAGCCTAAATAACAATCCTACCTTAAAATAATAATAAATGTACCCGGGACCGGCCCCGTGGCTTAGTGGTTAAGTGCGCGCACTCCGCTGCTGGCGGCCTGGGTTCAGATCCTGGGCGCGCACCGACACACCACTTCTCCGGCCACGCTGAGGCCATGTCCCACATACAGCAACTAGAAGGATGTGCAGCTATGACATACAACTATCTACTGGGGCTTTGGGGGGGAGGGAAATAAATAAATAAAATCTTTAAAAAAATAATAACAATAATAAATGTACCCGTGTTTTGTAAAGTATTGTCCATGTTTAGTAAACGTAATAGAAAATATTCCCCTAAATAATAAGAACTGGGCAAAAAGGGGAGCTTATTCCTAAAGTGCAAAATGACCCTATAAATGGATGAGTAACTATGTTTTATTTTGGAACTTGGACAACTTTTTCCTGGTTTCACTCTTTTTAACATCAGTAGAGAGCAAAGTGCAGGAAAAAGGAATTTTCCTTTTAATTTTCATTTTGCAGGTGGTAAAATGCTGGGTCCCTTTGGTGGTGCTCTGTGAGATAAAGGGCCCCCAAAGGGAAATTGTAAGTGGAGATTCTGAAGTGTGTTTTGGGAGACCTAGAACAATCCAGAATGCAACCAGAGAAGGCAGGGACCTTCATTTAGGATGGCTGAGCAGCCAGGCCTTAGGCTACGAGGTGCCTGGGCAGGGGTTCCAAACCTGATGGTGCAGAGAACCACAAATGCCAGTGTCACCTTGGGCTGACTGAAACGGGGCCTTCTGGGACCTCCAATTTTACAGAGCTCTGAGGCAAGTTCTGATGCCCCATTGGGTTTGGGAACCACTGCTGCAGGTAATATAGATCTGCATGGAATTTGTCTGGAACCTCAGCATCATGTACATTTATAGGGACAGATGAGGAAACAGAGGCTCAGAGAAGTTAAATGAACTGCCCAAGAGGGCACAATGGGGTAGTGGCAGGCCATGAAGGCGGGACAGATTGTCCTGCTCATCAATATAGACCTGGTTCTTGCACATGCCTTGACACATAGTAGGTACTCAATAAATACCTATCAGGCAGATGGTTAGATAGGCAGATGACTGACCAAGACTGAGCCCCAACTCTTCACTGTCAGACCAGCTTAATTTTTTGTAATGCATTGTCAGCCTCCGTAGTTTCTTACAGACTGAAACCCAAATGTTATCATACAATTTTTTAAATTGAGATATAATCCACATACCATAATATTCATCTTTTTAAAGGGTGCAAGTCAGTAGTTTTAGTATATTCATGAAGTTGTGGAAACATCACCACTATCTAATCACAGAACATTTTCATCACCTCAAAAGGAAACCCCATACCTGTTAGCAGTCACTTCCATTTCCCTCTCCCCCACCCCCTGGCAACCACTAATCTACTTTCTGTCTCTATGGATCTGCCTATTTTGGACATTTCATATAAATGGAATCCTGTAACATGGGGTCTTTTGTGCCTGGCATCTTTCACTTCGCATAATGTTTTCAAGGTTCATCCTTTATGTAGCATGTATCAGTACTTCATTCCTTTTTAGGGCCAAATAATATTCCATTGTATCAAATCCAAATTTATGCTCCAAATTATCCCTTCTTTTTTAATTAAAATTTTCAAATGTCCATTGATGTCCCAGTTTTCCCATGGTTGACTTGAAGAGTTGGAAAAATTCTTCAAGGATATCTAGTCCTTATCCAAAAAAAAAAAAAATGCTGGTGTAGTTCTAGCTTCTTTCCACAGCTTCTGGCCACCCCTCTGCCCCTGGAGAAGAAAATAGCAAAGAAAGCCAGTCGTCGAAGGTTTACAAGCTATAATCAAACAGAATCGAATCCCTGGTGTTGTGTGACAGAGATGAAATCGCCATCAGCAGCAGCCTGCTGGCCAGACTCCAAGGGGCTTCCTTCTCCACCCCACCTGCCCCCTTCCAGGACTGTGGAGAGGCCTGTCTGGCTCTCTGGAACAATGGAACAAAGAGGCCTCCGAGAAGTTGCAGGAACCTGTTTGACCGAGATTGCTGCTGTCATGAATCAAGCTCCTGAAACCACTTCCACCTCCTCCCTTCACAAATATCCCTGGGCTCCAAGCTGTGTGTTTCCCCAGAGGAGCCCAAGCTGGGGCTTGTTACTGGGAAGCTGGAAGAAATGCGCTGGGGGTGGGGGGTGGGGAGGAGGGGCTCAGAGCATCTTTTTTCATCAGGAGGGCCTGGCCTGCTCAGGGCTGGGAAAGGGAAAGGCTTTTCTGTGCGAGTCCCTGGCTCTGCCTCTAGTCAGTCATTACCCGCAGGTCACTGATGTGTAACCTGGGGCGGAGAGGCCTGGCTGCAGGACTAGGAATTTCATTCCTGCCCAGACAGCCGTTCCTCGTATACATACCTTTGCTCTTGCCAACAAGCTCTATCTACATGGCCTATTGCCCCAACCAAACCCCTACCCACTCACCAATGGAATAAGGTCCAGGAAAATAATACAGCTCTCCCTCAAGAGCTAATAGTCTTGAGGAACTGTGCTCTCTGGAGATGAGCTCATTTGGTCCCTAAAGCCACTCTGTGATATTTGCGTGATTATCATCATCCCAGGGTCAAATGAGAAAAGTGAGTCTTAGAGGTTAAATGATTTGCCCGAGTAACTCACTGGGAGTTATCTAAGCCAGGATTCAAATTTTAGCAGGCTTTCTTGACCTCTGAATTCATCACAATTATGATGAAGATGGTGATGATGATGATCACTTACTGTATGATTATGTGACTTACGAACCCCTCCTAGGAGGGGCTAGTTTTATTCCCATTTTACAACTGAGAAAGCTGAGGCCGAGAGAGCTTGACTTGCTGGGAAGCAGTGGAGCTGGAATGAAGCTGAGGACTGTCTGGCTTCCCAGCCCACGCCCTAACCGCCAGGTTCTGCTGCAGACTTGTCCGCCCTCAGAGTTACCACCCCGACAACATCCCAGTGATCATTAGCCTGCCCGCCTTCCTCTCTGCTGTCCTTCATCCCCCCTCTACCCACGACATTTGAAAGACCCAGAGAAGTTCAATGGCACACTAGAGATCTCACGGTTAGAGGCACAGAGGACACACGAGCTTAGATTTCTTGATGGCTCCACTGGGCACCATCCACCCAACCACACTACCTCCCCCAGGCTGCCCAGCCAGCTGCAGGCTCTGAGCATGTGCACTGCTGCTGCAATGTAATGGGGCGGGGGGAGCAGATAGAGCAGGAGAAAGGAAGAGGGAGATGAGAAGGGAGTGGAACCACCTGGAAGCTTGCGAGCCCAATTAATGAAGAAAAGTCAAGCTTCCTCCCCACTATCCACTGATGTTCTCAGATTTGGAATCTAAGATTATGCAGCAGCAACAACAACAAATGTCTCTGCATGACCTGGGTCCTCCCAGGACTCTTCTAGCGGTTCGGACATCCCAGCCCAGAGCTCGTGTTCAAGGATTTCAGACAGTGTCTGCCGTCTTGGCCCTGGAGCAGAATCACTAAATCTCTTCTGCAGCAACTCACATGCCACTGCCTGCAGGCAGGCCTGGTTGGGAAGGACATTTCCAGTTCTCTGCTCTTGCCGGGTGTCATGGGTGCCGCTCGTCTTCCTCCTCCAGCCTCCTCTTGGGCCCCTGCACTCAGAATGCCGCTGGAGCTGCTGTTTGACAGGTTTGAAAATGAGCGACTGTCCCCTGTCGCCCCTAGATATGTCTGCATCAGGCTGACATCTTCTTTGTAACACTTGATGAAAGGTTCGCAAAGTGGTGTTTCTGCATGAGTGCGTGCTGGATGGATATCCTCCAAGGGCACCAGGGATATTAGCACTAACCAGCTGGAAATACAAGGACACACTGCTGGCTGCGCATGTGGAACCGCCTCGGGTTCTTGTAAAATGTTTTTGAGTCCAGTTGTCTCAAATAGGAATGTTAACTGCTTATTTGAGCTTCCAAATCTAAATTCAGTTTATCACACTTAACATTTGGTTCTTTAGTGCTAAACGTTGTTCCAAGCACTTAACAAATATCAACACATCTAATCTTCACAACAACCCTATGTGGAAGGTACTGTCATTGTCATCTTCCCAATGTACAGACGAGGAAACAAAGGTGTGGGGACGTTCAATAATGTCCCCAGATCACGTGGCTAATCAGTGGTGGCTGGGCTCTGTAACCACCACATTATGCTCCTCTCCATCACAAAGCCATGTCATGTGCCTTTTTCACCAGTTCTGGGCCCGGAGGGCTAGAAGACAGAGCAGAGAAGGAGGACTGCAGGAAGGAGAGACAGGGTGTCAGATGTCTTAGGTGCCATCTCGGGACCATGGGGCCCACCCAATGTCCCCCTCTTCTAAGCGGATGTCTCACTCTAACAGGTGGCTGGGTGACTCTGCCATGTCGGGGGGAGTTCCCGACCTTGTCTGTCCTCCTGAGGCCCCCAGAGGGCCCAAGTTCAAATGCCATGATGCTGCCCTTTGAGAATTCCACATTCACTGAGTGCGCTGTGTGGCCTGAGCACCGACCAGGCCTTTCTGAGATGGGACCAGAGGGCAGTCACCTGCCATACACACCTTTGTATCCCAGCACCTGGCTCTGGACCTGATACGTTGTGGGCACTCAGAAGATACCTGCTTGATGACACATGAATCCTTCCCAT